AGGGTTGGGGACACAAACGGGAGGTGTGAGTCGAATGAAGGAGAGGGGAGATGTGGTAACGGTGGGGGAGGTGGAGCGCTTTACGAGCGCGTCGGATTCAGGTGCTTCTCCAGGTGGGGCTTCCGCTGGTTCAGGTGGTGGCGACAGTGGTCGTCTTTCGTCCCTTTCTGCTTCCGCTTCGGGCGGTTCGGCTATGGAGCTTTACTCCCCGTATCCGGCTGGTGGTAACCCTAACGATATCGCCACGGGCCTGGCTTCCTCTGGCGGCAGCGTTGGCACCGAGGTGTTCAGTGGCGGTTTGGATCCGTACGGTATAGCTGCCGTACCTCTTCCCGTGCCTACGCTGCCTCGGCCATCCAGCTCCGGAGGGGACAGGCCTGGTGCTGCTGGGAGGAGAAGGGACGGGGGGATGGGGGGAGGGGGAGTCGGAGGTCTGGAAGCGTCTGGGCTTGGGGGGGCCGCAGCGGTTGTTAAGGCGGAAAGGGGGGCGGAAGGGAGGGCAAACCCGGAGAAAATGGTACTGCGGTGTCCTGTGACTGGAGCGGAAGTGAGTATGGGCGATGGTGATAGCAAGGGGAACCCCCACGGATCCGCGCATGCGGGCGGAAGTGGAAGCATGAGCGGGAGCGGGAGCATGAGCGGAAGCAGTGGCCGCAGCGGCGGGAGTGTCGGGGGTGTGAGTGCGGGTGCTGCGAAGGGGGGAAGGAGCGGAGAAGTGGGAGCGGAGGAACGAGGGGGCGGAGGGGGAGGAGGAGCGGAGGTGATGGGGAAAGTGATAGCAGCGGTGGTTGAATCACATTCTCTTTTCTTCACAGACGAGGTGCGTACGTAAATATTACTTCCAACAAATCTCATACAAAAACAACAATGAGCATCTTAGCTATATTTCATGCTGGATAATACTGAAAGAAAGAGTGTGTCCTCACATCCCTCCTGCACTTCATTTTCCACTCCCCCCTTTCGTCATCACCTTCCATCATCAACCCTCTCAATGTTTATCCTCGCGAACCAAAATATAAGCAACTATCACCTTTTCGCCGCCCTTCTTGACCTCACCCAATCCCCCATGGCTGTCATTCCCATTCCCCTTCCTCAACCCTTCTGTCATCACCTTCTGTCAGCAACCTTTCGTTTTTAGCCCCACGAACCAACGTATACGCAACCATCTCCCCTCAACACTCCCTTCTTATCCCCCTTTTTTTCCAACACCATTTTTGCCACTCAGACTTCCAATGGAACCAAGATATGCGACCACCTACTTGCCGCCTTTCTCGACATCACCGAATCCCCCATTGGCGTCATTGCCTCCGTGCTGCATCGTCACGATGGTTCACCATATCTCAAGGTGCGTAGAGTTTCATGCATACATGATACTTGCACGCTTGTCACTTACACTCCCTCCCTTTCCATTCCTCTTTCTGTATCTTCCTTCTTTCCTTCCTTTCTTCCCCTCCCGCTCCCCCACGCTTGATCTTTTGAAACATTTCTTACCGTCCCTTCCTCACTCCACCCCCACCCCTTCTACCCCACTACACCATCCCCCGCCCCACTCCCCCCACTTCCCCAGACCCATGCGGCCACCAACGTGGCATGGACCCCAGAGCTGCACCAGTGGTGTATCGCCAACTACGAAAGCGGGCTCGTCTTCACCAACATGAAGTCCCTTCTCGGAGCCTCCATAGCCTCCCGCCAGCCCCACATCTCCAACCATCCGCTCTCCGACCCGCAGTCCTCGGGAACACCCCCGGGGCACCCAACCCTTAACACCTTCCTCTCAGTGCCTGTCTTCATGGGTGAGTGGGCTGGGCTGTGCGGGTGAGTATGGTGGGTAATGCAATTATCGCTGATTTGCTCGCCTCCATCGCCTCCTGCCAGCCCCACATCTCCAACCATCCGTTCTCCGACCCGCACTCCCCGGGAACCCCTCCAATCCTGTGTTTATGGGTGAGTGAGTGTCATGGGTTATGCATGCAATCATGCGTGCATCGATGTCAATCCCTCTCCTCGGCGCCTCCATCGCCCCCACATATCCAATCACCCGCAGTCCTCCGACCCGCACTCCTCCGGCTCTCCCACCGGCTACCCGACCATCAACTCCGTCCTCTCCATGCCTTCCTCCCCTTATGTTTCTCCTCCCTCCCTTCTCCTTATCCTCCTCCCCTTCTCCCTTTCCTCCTCCCCTTCTCCTTTCCCTCCTCCCCTTCTCCTTTTCCTCCTCCCCTGAAACAGGCACCGAGCTAGTGGGCGTGTGGATGGTAGCAAACAAGGAGGGAGGCTATAAAGAGGATATTGTGCATGCAACAGAGGCACTATCAGCCACTCTGGGACAAATCCTGTTTGGAATCAGCAAGAGGAAGAGAAGGATGGAGGCCAAGAGCAAGCTGTATGAGGGGCGCGTGCCGGTGAGTGGAACTGGATATGTGTTGCATTGTTGCATCTTGTTGTGTGTTGGGTCTTTTGTGTGTTGGTGCCTGGGTGGCCAAGCATTGTACTGACTGATGGAGGTCAAGAGCACGCTCGGTTAGTTTGCTGGCAGCAGTGAGTTGACAAGGTCTTAGTACTGATGAGCTGTGAGACGTCTAGACACGCTAAGAGCTGTGAGCGGATCCTGTTGGGCTCAGCAAGAGGAAGCGAAGGATGGAGGCCAAGAGCAAGCTCTGTGAGGGGCGCGTGCCGGTGAGTGTCCCTCTGTGTGTGTTGCACTTGTGTGTTTTGGCCTGGTTTGAAAGAAGCACTTCATGAGTGGCTGATGGTGAAGTGGAACACTGTGACTTTTGAGTCGACTCAAAAGTCCCTCTGTGTGTTGCACTTGTGTGTTTTGGCCTGGTTTTGAAGACTCACTTCAGAGTGGCTGACTGTAAAGTGGAACACTTTTCTTAAAATATCTGGCCCTGTTTCTTATTGTATTTTCTCCCTTGTACACCCAATCCCCGTTACAGGCTGCTGGGGAATCCCGTCTGGTGGTTGACGCCTTGGGAACAGTCACAGCGTGCAATAGAGAGGCGAGCAAGCTTTTCTGCTTGCCCATACTCGCACCACCGCCAACAGCAGCACCGGCAACAGCACCACCAGCAGCAGCTGGGGCGGCAACAGCAGCAGCAGCAGCTGCTGCTGATGAGGCTGTTTACCCTCCGGCAGAGCAGATCGCTTTCCCTGATCTGTTTTACAACATCAACTGCAGAGAGGACTTCATGTTGCTCGGTACGTTGGGGTGCTGCTCGGTTCGTTGCGGTGCTGCCCGGTATGTCGCGGTGCTGCTCGGTACATTGTGGTGCTGCATACTGTCGTGCCCCTCTCCTCCCCTTTCTGCCTGAACTGATACCAGTCGTGGTCGATGGCACATCTGTCCAACTTCTCCTGCTCCGTGGCATGTCATCACACCTCCCTGACTCCCTGAGTCATGTTTTGAGTCGACTCAAAAACTTCTGCTGCTCCGTGGCACGCCATGCCAGCACACCGGCAAGACCATTCTGGCCCTCGTGTGCATTACCAAGCAGAACCTCCCTGCTGGTGCTCCCTCTCCCAACTCCCATCTCCTCCCATCTCCCATCTCCCATCGCTCTCCCCTTCCCACACCTCAGGTATTGATGCTCATCTGGAAAACTCCTGCTGGTCCATGGCACGCCAGTGCACTCCCTGTCCCCCATACACGCTTCACTACCCTCGCTCACTCGACCTCCTCCCCCCTCGCCTCAATCCCCTCTCAGGTTTTGACGCTCATTTGGACAAGTCCTGCTGGTCCATGGCACGCCAGCGCACCGGCAAGACTCTGCTGGCCCTCGTGCGCATCACCACTCTCTCATCCCACTCTCCCTCACCACCCTTACACCCCTCCCCTGATCCCCTCTCAGGAGTGGACGCTCATCTGGACAAGTCCTGCTGGTCCATGGCACGCCAGCGCACTGGCAAGACCATTCTGGCCCTCGTGCGCATCACCAAGCAGAACCTCCCCACGGGTGCTGCTTTCATCTGCTCTGTGTGGGAAATGATTCCACCTGAGTATGCCAAGCTGCTCCGAGCAAACCCATGATTCTGATTCTCGACTCGGGACTTCTCAGTGTGGGTGGAAAGTCACCTTTCCCACTGGCGCCGCTTTCATTTGCTCAGTGTGGGAGCTGAATCCGCCCGAATATGCCAAGCCGCTTCGAGCAACCCCTTGATTTTGTAGTCTATTATCACAAAGGTTGCCTTCGCGCTGGTGCTGCTTTTGTGGGCCGCTGTGGGAAATGTTTTTGCCGAAATACTGTAGCGGATTAGTTTTCCATTGCTTCCTTCCTGGTGGTGGGTTGGTGTCTTATTTACTTTGACTGCTGGGGTCGGCTTATCGTAACTGCATCTGGATGGGGTTTTTCTTTTTTGCAGCTGTTCTTGTCTACTGCCGCAACCACTGTATAGTACAGGGAAATATGTGGGTAGGGTACTACTTCTGGAGTTTAATTTGGAGATATATAATTATGGTACTAACTGACAGGCATTTGTTGGGAATGCATGAGATCGCAGGCTGGGTGGTTCGGCAGTTGTTGAACCTGTATGGTGCAGTATGGTACCGTATGTATGTACAGCGTGTACTCTTACAAGCACTGTAGCACTGTACCGCGTATGTTCCATTCCTGACATCTCCTCACCTCACCAGACTCCATCGCACTCCCTCCCTCCGTTCACCATTCTCACCTTACTCGAGCCCCCCGGTCCCCCCAATCCCACCCTCTCCATCTCTCTTCTCTTCCCAACAACTCTTCTAGTCCAGTCTAACCCCCCACCCCACCCCCCCCACCCCCCAGTTCCGGCCTTAACCAAATATTATACAGTAAGCCCCACTTCTCCCGTAGAAATGAGGTTCTGCCATCTTCTGAAAGGTTTCATGAAACCCAACTCTTAATGAGTCTCCAGCATGAACGGTGCAAGCTCACGTCTAAATCTCTTTCCAAACTACTCTTCTGAGCATCTAAGCAGCTGAAATAAGCACACCGCCTCCCTTTTCAGGCGGCTCAACAGCCCAACTAGGGATGAGCTTCCAGCATGAACGGAGCAAGCTCGACTTGGAATTTCTTCTCAAACTCCTCGCCTGTGCACGCAAGAAACTGAGTCAAGCACACCGCCTTCCCTCCCTGCCGCCAACCTTCACCTCGCTGAGATAAAGCATTCACAGCCACAGCCCCTCCCCCTCCCAACGCAGCATAGCTGTCTTGTGCATATTCCAAAGCAGTTCGATCCTCATGCTTCCTCACCCCGACCTCATCTTTCCCACCCACATCCTCCCCTGCTGCTCCCTTCCCTTCTGCCCCGCTCCTCCCATTAGAAATGCCTTCCAAGTGCCATCTCCCTGCACCATTTTTTGGCAAAGCTTCCTCATGCGGCACCAACACAAAGCCTCTGCTCACCAGTGCCACATGTCGCGGTCTGATTCGCCGCTCCAAGCTGTACCCAAGGAAGTGAGGGAACGCAAGCACCTCCTTTATAGAGAGCCCCATGTCCCGCTTTAAGTATTCCACCTTGTGCCTCGTGTTCCTCTCCCAACTGTAGCAAATAGAATTCGGGAACGTAACCACCAGCTTCACCACGAGCTCACAAGCTGTTGTTGTGGCAGCAATGCTCGTAGAACCTGATCCTTCTTCTGAATCTTCTTCAGCCCAGGCCTCGACCCCTGATTGACAGCCAGCATCGCTCCCCCCTTGCTCCGCACGTTCTCTAGCATCCTTTTGACACGCTTCAAAAGCCGGGCTTTCTCTTGCAACCCCATCACCTTCACCACCCTCCAATGCCTCTCCCACCTCATGCACAAGCTTCCTAGCACCTTCCTCAAGCAAGTGCCTCCCACTCTCCTCTCCCCTACTCTCCTCCATTGCCTCTTCCACCTCTCGCACGAGCTCTCTAAAACCCTTCTTAATGTTCTCCTCATTAGAAGCCAGCAGCACAGGAAACCGTGCAACTGCAAGCACAGTGTTCTCTCGGCCAATCAGATCGCCCAACAATGCCACCTTGCCTTGCATGTTCTCTATGGATAGAAGAAGAACCGTTGGATGGCTTCGCACCACACATGCGGCTGCCTTCTTCCCTACCAGTTCCTCTAAGTACTGGAGCTTAGCTAAGATATTCTGAGAGCTGAGGTGGACGAGAGAGGGGGCCTGGCGGAGAACCCGGATGGCAATGGAGGGGCTGTCAGGGGGAGTGAAGGACTGGAGGAGACTGAGGATGGGAGGGATGCGCTCGGGAGGTTTGAGGAGGATACCTGGATATTGCACCAGGAGTTTTCTCAGGTGAGCTTTGTCCTGGTCCTGCCTATTCAGGTGTCCGCTGCCGACAATTCCTCCTTCGTATCCACCAGTAAAATACGCTGACACTTGCTCGAGACGTCTTCGTATCGTTTCCTCCCCCAAGAATAGGATACCCGGATCTCTCTCAATAATCACACCGAGCTTGTCCACAGGAACCCCTGCTCTTTCCACCAAGATGTCCAGGTTCGTTGAACGAACCTGTGAGCGAATGACATATGGAGACCTTCGGAGAACTGCACCTAGCCTGGTTCGGAGTATGCCCCGAGCCAAGAAAAAGCCAAGCATTTCCCGAACCTGGGGAAGGGAGACTCGGAGCCAGAAAGGGTTACTCATTGTGATGGTCGAGATGTCGGCACGGGAAATGCCATACGACTCTAGAAGCTCGACACGTGGCAGCAAGTCATTGGTGGAATCAGACCGAAGGAGCGCAGGGTAAGAGGCGAGGAGGGAAGCGACAGTGGAAGGGGAGGAGATGCCGAGGTGGGAGGAGAAGAAGCGGTAGAGGGAGAGGAGGGAGGAGGGAGAAACAGCCCGCCGCCTCTTGAGTAGAGAAGGGGGCGTGGGAGGAGATGTGGCGGGTGTTCCGTCCTCATCACTCGCTCCTGCCTCTGCTTCTGCGTCTTCCCCCTCCTTCCATTCCTCATCCTCTTCCTCCTCAACTTCTGAGCCCTCTATTTCCTCATCCCCATACCCCACCTCTTCCTCTTCTTGTCGTCCCTTAGCCTCCTCCTCATCCGTAATCCTTCCATTTGCTGCCCCCCCCTCCTCCTCCTCCTCTATCACTATTTGAGGCCCGAACTTCTCTCTCAACACTCCAGCAATCACCGCCACTGCCTTTTTCTCCTCCTCTGTTACCTCGCATCCTCCCCTCCCTCCACGCTTCCTCCTGTCTCCCTCAACCTTTCCCTTCACTTTCCTTGCTCTCCTATCACGTCTCGTACGCTCTCCTCTGCCATCCGCCTCCTCCCTTCCCACTCTACTCTCGCTCTCCTCTGATTCTCCTCCCTCTCTTTCTCCCTTTTCTTTTCCATCTGCACGCAACCGAGCGTCGGTCTCAACCGTCAGCACTGTCTTGCCATCGAAGCTCGGATCAAATCGCGGATTTGCGCTCTCCGCCTCGGGAATCTCTACTTGGCTGGCTAACGATCCAGCGGGACAGCTTACAGTGAAGCTCCGGTCAGGGTTTCGAATCCTGGTGAATGCGTTTTCTGCAGGATGGTGTCGGTTTAGCCCAAACTGGTAGCCGCTCGACGGGGAAGGAATAGCAGCTGCGGATGTAATTCCAGGCTTCAATGAAAACGACTTGGAACGAGGAGTAGAAGACTGTGTCATGTATCTTAGCGAAAACAAAAATCTGTCAATCCGCGCGATGGATGGCCGTGACCTGGAGGTACGAAACGCCATAGCGATTAGCCGACGGATTATACGGCTTCAGGATGAAACAGAAGTAATGAAATACGGCTTCAGTGCTCGTCCTACAACGAACTATCTGATGTGATTCTCTGAGCATCGTGCTGTGACTGCCAGAAATCTAACGAGCTAAAAAAGCGCAGTCCATTTCTCTGGCTGCAGTTTTCTCGCCCCCCCGTGGCAGACCCCAGAAAGCACCAGATCAACGAAAAACTGGCGCTGAGATCACCGAGCTGCGACAATATTGGCTGGCGAATCCACCCATTCACCCTTCACGATTGCATTGCGACTATGAACCGTCGCAAGCAGAGTTTCATGTGCTTTCACCAGCCCATTTGTATCTAGGCGACGAGTCGTTGGCACACTTGCGAAGAGTCGTGTGCGCCCGTTCGTGCCGCTTCGGATTCGTACCCGTTAACAGAAATTGATGAAGCAAGCACATTAGAACGATACCGTAAGTTTCTCATTAGGTGGGATCGAGAGTGTATGTGTTCCATTGCAATCTCACTCCCTCCCTTCACCATTCCAGCCTTTCCGTTATTCTCCTTCCCCTTCCCAATGGCTCTTCTACTCCAATTTACACCCCCCTCAATCCCCCCTTCCCCCTGCCCTCCGCATTGACCACCATTACCAGGTAAAACCCGCTTAGTATTGAGTTTTTGGCACTTTCTAAAATGCTCCAGTAAAACCGACTAGGGACGAGTTTCCGGCATGAATGGTGCGAGCTCGACCTTGAATCTCTTTTCAAACTCCTTGTCCGTGCGTCCAAGCAACTGAGTCAAGCACGCCACCTCCCATCCCTGCTGTTGATTCACGCCGCGCCGGCCCGCAGCACCTTTTCTCCCCAACACATCATAGCTGTCTTGCATAGAATCCAATACACTTTGATACTCAACCTTCCTAACCCCCAACTCATCCATCTCACCATCTTCCTCCCCATATTCCAATTCCATATGCTCTTCCTTCCCTTCTCCACTCCTATCACTGCCAACTCCCTCCAAGTACCGCCCTTCTCTCCTTTCTCCACCATTCTTCGGCAGCGCTACCTCATGTGGCACCAACACATAGCCATTGCTCAGCAGCGCCAAATGTCGCGGTCGGATTCGCCGATCCAAATTGTAATTAAGGAAATGTGGGAACGCAAGCACCTCCATTATAGAACAGCCCCATGTCCCGCTTCAAGTATTCCACCTTGTGCCTCGTGTTCCTCTCCCAACTGTAGCAAATACATGTCGGGAACTTAACCACCATATTTGCCACATATCACGAGCTGTCGTGGCGCCAGTAGTTCTCTTAAAGCCTCGGCCTTCTCCTGCCCTTGCTTCTGCACCTCTCCCCCCTTGCTCCGCACGCTCTCTTGCATCCTTTGCATCAATTTGAGGCTCTTCAACATACGGGCTTTCTCGTGCATACCCTTCATCTTCACCACCCTCCAAAGCCTCTTCCACTTCTCGCACAAGTTCGCTGAAACCCCTCTTCAGGCTCTCCCCATTAGACGCCAGCATCGAAGGATACCGTGCCACTGCAAGCACAGCGTTCTCTCGGCCAATCAGATCGCCCAACAACGCCACCTTGCCTTGCATGTTCTCTAAAGATAGAATAAGAACCGCCGCATGGCTGCGCAACACAGTCCCTGCTACCTTCTTCCCCACCAACTTCTCTAAGTACTGGAGCTTAGATAGGATATTCTGTGAGCTCTGGGACAAGAGAGTGGGAGCCTGGCGGAGAACAGGTATGGCAACAGAAGGGCTGCCAGGGGGGGTGAAGGACTGGAGGTGGCGGAGGTTGGTAGCAATGCGCTCGGGAGGCCTGAGGAGGATTTTTGGAAAAAACACCAGGACTTTGCTCAGGTCATCCTTGTGCTGCCGGTTCAGGTGTTGCCTCAGGTGGCCGCTGTTGATGCTTTCTTCTCCGTATCCGTTAGTAAAAAACGTTGATACCTGCTCGAGACGACGTTGTATGGTTTCCTCCCTCAAGCATAGGATAGTCGGGCCCCTCTCTATAATCACACCCAGCTTGTCCACAGGAACCCCTGCTCTCTCCACCAGAATGTCCAGGTTCGCTGAACGAAGCCGCATGGTCATGAGATAACGAGACTTCCGGAGCACCATACCTAGCTTGGTCCGGCGTACGCCCCGAGCCAAGAGAAAGTCAAGCATTTCCCGAACCTGGGCAAGGGAGCATCGAAACCAGGAAGCATTGTTCATGGTGATGGCTGACATGTCGGCGCGGGATACGCCATACGACTGGAGGAGGTGGACACGTGGCAGCAGGTCACTGGCAGGATCAGAACGCATGAGGGCAGGGCGTGAGGCGAGGACTGAAGCGACAGTGGAAGGGGAGGTGATGCCGAGGTGGGAGGAGAAGAAGCGGTAGAGGGAGAGGAGGGAGGAGGGAGATACGACCCGAGGGCTGTTGAGTGGAGGAGGGGGTGTGGGAGGAGATGTGGTAGGTTGTCCGTCCTCATCACTCGCTTCTTCTTCTGCTTCTGCTGCTGCGTCTTCCCCCTCGTTCCCTTCCTCATCCTCTTCTCCCTCAAATTCCGCGCCCTCTGCTTCCGCATTCCCATCCACCTTCTCCTCTCCTTCTGCACCCTTCGCCTCCTCGTCCGTAATACTTCCGTTTGTAGACCCCTCCTCCTCCCCTTCCTCTCTCACAATCTGAGGCCCGAATTTTCCCTTCAATACTCCAGCAATCACTGCCACAGCCTCCTCCTCCTCCTCTGTCGCCTTGCATCCTCCCCTCCCTCCACGCTTCCAACCGCCTCTCTCAACCTTTCCCTCCACAGCGCTTGCTCTCCTACCACGTCTCGTACGCTCTCCTCTGCCATCCACCTCCTCCCTTCCCACTCTAATCTCGCTCTCCTCTGATTCCCCTCCCTCACTTTCTCCCTCCTCTCTTCCATCCGCACGCAACCGAGCCTCAGTCCCAACAGCCAGTACTGGCTTGCTATCGAACCTCGGATCGAATCGCACGCTCTCCGCCTCGGGAACCTTTGCTGCTCTGGCGAACGAACCAGCGGGACAGCTTATAGTGAAGCTCCGCTCAGGGGTTCGAATCCTGGTGAATGCGTTCTGCCCAAGTTGGTGTCGGTTAGGTCCAAACCGGTAGAGGCTCGGCGTGGAAGGATTGGCAGCTATGGGCTCTGGAAATGACTTGGAACCAGGAGTAGACGACTGTGTCATGCGTCTAAGTGAAAAGCTTAATCTGTTAATCCACGCGATGAATGGCCGTGATGTTCTAGCACGACACGCCATAGCGAATAGCCGACGGATGCAATGAAAGGGATGAAGGATTACATAAACGAGTTACACGCCTGTAGTGCTTGTCCTACGACGAACCATCCGGAGTTATTCCCGATTCCCGAATCGTTGCAGTGACTGCCAGAAAACTAACGAGTTACAGGAACCGTTTCATCTCCATGGCTACTCCAGTAAATAGCATGCAGTCATATCGCTCTCTAGTAGCATACTCTAGAATACAGACCCGAAGAAATTCTGGAATAGTGCTCTGATCATAGAAACCACACAAGAAACTAGTAGAGGCAAAAGTAAGAGAGCATTTTCTGGTCCCACTGCCAGCACTGGGATTACCGAGCTGGGATAACCTTACGATTGCCAGCTTGGCAGGCAAATCACGATTCACGAATTCATTCTTCTCTCGCGAGTACTTACGACACGAATGCACACGGAGTATTTTGTGCCTTCGCTAGCCCAACGCATACGAGGCGACGACCGGTTGCCACACTTGCGACGCGTCGTGTGTTTCGCCAGTCCTCGAGCTTGGTTGTGTTGTTTCGGATTCGTACCCGTTCACCGGTATTGATGCAGACAACACATCAGATTTCAGGTGCAATATTTCACAAAAAATCATTAGGTCTACTCTGAAAATTTGAGTGTTAAACAAACACAATTGCAACAACAGTCAACGAAGTGGACCTCATACCTCCGTTTGTTCCATCATAACTCCTCAAAGCGCTTATTGTCAGACTATATTTTGCATATGTTATCCTCTAAATATCCAGTAATGCTTCTAACCACATTCACATAAAAGATGTGAATAGAGGGTTTATTTAGCACTCGTACAGCAAAAACATTTTATTGCTGCCTCGGATGTTACAGATCCACGTGTGCATTCTCTCTTTTGAGGATCAGGGGCTCACCCCACGCGAGACCTATCGAAAGGTCATCAGGCATGCTTTGACCTGGACGTGACGCGACAGCCTTGAGATTGCCAGTCCTGTGACAGGTCCCATCCTGCCACGTGTACATCAGATTGACCCTAGGGGATCACTCATCCCTGTCAGAAGCATTAGAGGTTCACCGCGATGAGCAAATCTAGCCCGTCGCAACTGCTTTCTGCATTTCTTCATAAAATCTCGACCATTGAAACCCACTATGACAGGGCATCTTCAAACTGCTGCTCAACCTCTGATGCCTGAACTCCCAAGCCCAGCCTTGGGATCTCCGTGCACACTAGAAGGCCCTAACTAGTCCTCTCCTGCTGATCAGACGAACAGTTTCAATTCCTGGTCACGGAATCCGGTTTCAGTTGCCTGATCAAAGCTGAACTGACTAGACCTTAGCCAGTTTTCTTTCATTGATTAGCATCTGAAGCCATGGAGGCTGTCGCAATCGCTCCTCGCGTACCAGTTGCGATTTCCCAGCGAAACTCTGTCGCAGGAGCTTCGAGCCAGCGTGCTCGCCCCCTCGCAGCTCCCCAGCAGCAGCGCTGGCGATGCTTGTCTTCCTCGTCGTCGAGCGTCGCAGGAGTGTCGCTCCTGAAATCTGTCGCACAGGCACGCAGTACTAAGACCGGAAAGGCCTCAGCGTCTCGTCTGGTAGTACAGGCTAAGGACGAGTCTTTCGACTATGACCTTATCATTATCGGCGCTGGCGTCGGTGGTCATGGCGCTGCTCTGCACGCCGTCGAGCAGGTACCTTTCTTCAGGCGTATGTTCCGGAAAAGAAGAATAGGTAGAACGTATCACTCACAAATGAGTGCGTCTTGTGTCACTCTAAGGCCTTTATTTCTAACAATTTCCGGTGACATGTTTCGTGGCCCTTTACAACGCTGATCAATGTTCCTGCACTTCCAATTTTTGGCACAATCTGATTACCAGGGCCTGAAGACGGCCATTATCGAGGGTGACGTGGTGGGAGGCACGTGCGTGAATCGCGGGTGCGTGCCGTCCAAGGCGCTTCTCGCCGTCAGCGGTCGCATGCGCGAGCTCAAGGACGAACATCATCTCAAGTCGCTCGGCATCCAGGTAATATCTGGTAATAATTAATCGATATTACTTGACAATTAATGGTTAAACCCGTCTGCCAAGCGTGAGAAAGCGTTGCACGTTTGTCCTGTGCGCGAGTTCGGGAATAAGCATCACCTCAAGTCAGTCAGCATCCACGTAGTACCGTACGACTGAATCAGACCCAAGTAGTTCAATCACTCGTAAACCCGAATCATGAAACCCGAATCATGCTTGCAAGTTAAGAAGCTAGCCAGACAAGCTCTCTCAGTAAGCACGGTCGGATATGTTTCGTTCATCCCTTCCTTTCGTCCTCCAGGTCGCAGCTGCGCAGTACGACCGGCAAGCAGTGGCAGATCACGCGAACAACCTGGCTGCGAAAATCAGAGGCAACCTGACCAACTCGATGAAGGCCATCGGTGTTGACATTCTCGATGGCTTCGGCTCCCTCGTCGTAAGTGCCACGTACTACCGCTCGTTCTCTGTCCCCTCTACCCTGTCCACATCAAGCTTGTCTTCGTGGGCCCCCTACACATTCTCCCGCTGATTTCACCTGTTGGGGCGACCTTCTCCTTGTCTCAGAGCCTGACCTCTCGTTTCCTTATATCCTGACCCCGTTTCATCCCATTGCGCGCCCCACAGACCCCTCAGAAGGTGAAGTACGGGAAGCCGGGCGCGGCGGAGAAGACGGTGACGGCGAGAGACGTGATCATCGCCACCGGCTCCACGCCGTTCGTGCCCCCCGGCATCGAAGTCGACGGTAAGTTCCGCGCATGGCAATTGTGCGCTCGAGACTGCTCGTAGGTGGCTTTTAATTCGACTCAGTCACCTCTCAGCGAAGAAGACGGTGACGGCGAGAGACGTGATCATCGCCACGGGCTCCCCGCCTTTCCTGCCTCCCGACATCGAGGTGGACGGTTAGTTCCGCGCATTGCGGATTGTGGGTGCTTGAGGCTGCGCGTGGTGTTCACTGTGCTGTGGCCTGTGCCGTACGCTCCGTCGTCATGTCATAATTCGACATACTTTTCTGACCCTTTCCGTTTCCCTCGTTTTGTAACTTCGTTTCGAAAAGTGTGGAAGCTTCCGTTGTAAGCTGTCGGTGTTCGCGAGCAGGGACGGGGCTCTGTAACTGTAGTGGGAGGCGAATAGTATGGTCATTAGGTTTTCACTTGTACTGTGCCCACTTGCCCGATCCGACTGCCCCATTTATTCCCCCAGGCAAGACGGTGTTCACGAGTGATGAGGCCCTGAAGCTGGAGTGGATTCCCGACTGGATTGCCATTGTGGGCAGCGGCTACATCGGCCTCGAGTTCAGCGACGTCTACACCGCTCTGGGTGCCGAGGTGCGTAGCTTGATTTGAGGCGCATCGTGATACGACTGGATCCACATTGTGGGTTATTCACTCCGTGCCTCCGCCTGACTCCCCTTTATCGCCATCCTTTCTCTGCTCATCTCCTCGTCCCCCTCGTTTCCCTCGCCTCGCTCGATTCTCTCCTCTCTACCCTCAGGTGACGTTCATAGAGGCTCTGAATATCATCATGCCGGGATTCGACCCTGAGATTGGGAAGCTGGCGCAGAGGGTGCTCGCGAACAACCCACTCATCCTGCAAAGTATTCTGAGTGCACCAAACAACTCCTGTCAACCGCCTCCCCTTTCTTCCCCTTTCCCCCCAGGTGACGTTAATTGAGGCGTTGGATATCATCATGCCAGGGTTTGACCCCGAGATCGGCAAGCTGGCGCAGAGGGTTCTCATCACCCCTCGCAGCATTGACTACCACACGGGCGTGCTCGCCAAGAAGGTGCGTGGCGAGGGGGGTTGGAGGAGATGAGTGGGTTGCTAGCCAAGAAAGCGTGTGGGGTTGGGAGTGGCAACGAGGGTCTCAGGCATGCTATGAGACGAGGGTGGTACCTGTGCTGTGTGTACTCAATTTCTCTTTGTTTCTCTTGCTCGCTCCCTCACCGGTTTGTGACCCCCCCCTCTCACAGATCACCCCTGCACGCGATGGCAAGCCAGTGCAGATCGAGCTGGTGGACACCAAGACGCGGGAGTACAAGGAGACGCTCGAGGTGAGCACTGAGTAGAGAGGAGAGAAGAGGAGATTAGGAAGTGCAGAGGGATGGTTGGGTGGAGGTGAGGAAAGATGGGGCAGACGAGATGACGGCAAGCCTGTGCTGCAGATCGAGTCACCAAGACACGGGAGTACAAGGAGACGCTCGAGGTGAGCGTGGGGCAGAGAGGAGTGAAGAGGGGTGGAGAGGAGAGGAGATGAGATTAGGGTACACGGGGAAGAGGTGGCATGGGCCTTTTGAAGGCCAAGAGGAAGGAGTATACTGGAAGTGGGGAGGCGGGACTGCAACAGGAGTACACGTACACCAGGACTCAAGATGTGGGTCGTGTGGAGAGAAAGGAATGGAAGGGAACGAACCGGGGGGGAGGGGAGAGTCCAAAGTGTGGCAGCACGAGTGAAGGCTGATGGAGGAGGAAAAGCTTGTGATTCTGAAGTTCACTTCCTCCACACCTTGCTGTTCGCCCTCCTCGCATTCACCCGTCCCCTGGCTGATTCAGAGCGAGGGTTAAAAAAAACGACCGTTTTTTTGAAAATTTACCGTAAAAACGATACCGTAAAAAACGACCGTTTAAAACGGTTTAAAACGGTTCCAGGAGGTGCTTTCAGTTTAATTAACATATCGGCCATTTTATGGGACCAAATTGAACCCGAATTTCAGCAGGATGAAGGGGACGGGCCCCTTCTTGGATGTGTGCTCTTGTTGGCATGTTTGATAACGTGTTTGACCTTGTTTTTCCCTTTTTTTTCTTGGTGACCAGAGTTTTCTAACAAAAAAACGGCCGTATTCTTGGAAAATCACCGTAAAAAACGACCGTAAAAAACGTACCGTATTTTACGAAAACCGTATTTTTGAACCTCTGACTGCCACTGAGTACCGTTTAACACCGCTCACAATGCTTCACTTCACCCTCACGTTCCTTTCATTCACCCCCCCTTCCGCCCCTTCCGTCCTCCGTCCTCTTCCTGTCTCTCTCTCCCCCACCCTTCAGGTTGATGCGGCTCTGATTGCCACTGGCCGAGCGCCCTTCACCAAGGGGCTTGGTCTTGAGAATGTGAGTGCATGTCCTGGTATTGCAGTGTTAGCGCATGGCTTGCAAGTGAAGAATCTGATCCGATGTATTGGTGGTGTTGAATGTGTGCGTGCGTGCATGGCTTGGATTTGAGACCTCACATAACATTGTTTTTTCCATCAAATCCCCTAACCCTGCTGCCAAGGCTGTTCGGTTCTTCTGCTGTTCTTTATGTATAGACCTCGCCCTAAATCGCTTTCCCCTGCTCTGCTCACCACTGATTTGAACTCCCTGCTCCTGCCTACACCTCCCTCCGTCCTCCTGACTAACCCAATCCACCACACTCCTGCATATATGCGTGCAGGTGAATGTGACAACAAACCGTGGGTTCGTGCCTGTGAATGAGACCATGCAAGTGCTCGACTCTGAAGGCAATGTCGTAAGCACTCTATGTCCGACCCATCCCATTGCAACCCATCATGTCTGTCCAAGCCCCTTATCGTCTTCCCTGCACCTACGAGATTCGGGGCCTTCTTTGTGCCTACAAAGAGAAACTCCCTTCTAACCTCCCCCGTTCCCTCTATCCAGGTGCTCCACGTGCAACCAGGCTGAGAATTCCGTCCCACTCCCGCCCTTTTCCCACCTCCCTTACCCTTTCCTCTTGTCTTCTACCCAATTTCCCTCCCCAGATTCCCCACCTGTTCTGCATTGGCGACGCGAATGGCAAGCTGATGCTGGCGCATGCAGCGAGTGCGCAGGGCATATCGGTGGTGGAGAACATCAAGGGCCACAGCAACGTGCTCAACCACCTCTCCGTTCCTGCTGCCTGCTTCACCCACCCCGAGATCAGCATGGTTGGGCTCACAGAGGTGAGTGACTGAGAGGCAAGGCAGAAAAGGGAAGAAGTCTGGGTTTTGAGACGTCTTACAAAGTTTGGAGGCAGGACAGAAGGGGAAGGATGTCTGGGTTTGACATGCCTTGATGCCCGTGCCTGTTCTACCTACCTCAAGTTGCTCTCCCTAGCCTTTTTTACTCCTGCTGTTCTCTGTTCTTTTGTGCCTGTCGCCCTTTCCCACCACCTGCCCCAAGCTTGGGAGGCAGCAGCGGAGGGCTTCCAAAGTGAGTGTGGTCAAGACGAGCTTCAAGGCAATCTCATATGTTCCTCTGTTGTGTCACGCCCCCCCCCCATCCCTATCCCGCTTGACCCACCACCAGCCCCAGGCACGGGAGAAGGCAGCAGCAGAGGGCTTTGAAGTGAGTGTGGCCAAGACGAGCTTCAAGGCCAACTCCAAGGCGCTGGCAGAGAACGAGGCTGACGGCATGGCTAAGGTGGGCTCCAATGGAGGGAGGATCAGGGCCTAGGGGCATCATTCATGGCATGATGGGGGGTTGATAGAGGGGTTGAATTGGGGGAAGATGGGTGGTTATATGATGAACTTCAAGGCCAACTCCAAGGCGCTGGCAGAGAACGAGGCAGATGGCATGGCGAAGGTGTAGAGTAGTAGATTGTAGAGGGGAGTGGATGCAAAGGTGAGAGATTGACAAGGGGAATTGCTTAGGGGAAAGGGGAGAAGAATGCCTCAGCTTCAAGGCCAACTCCAAGGCGCTGGCAGAGAACGAGGCAGATGGCATGCCTAAGGTGGGTAATGTTCTGAAGGGGGGTGTAGGGGTAAGGGAAAGCTGTGGAGGGATTGATAGAAGGGTTTAATTGGGGCAAGGGGAGAAGGATTCCTATTTGACAAGATGAGCTTCAAGGCCAACTTTAAGGCGCTGGCAGAGAACAAGGCTGACAGCACGGCTAAGGTGGGGAGTCGTAGTGTAGGGGATGAATAGGGGCAAAGAGCAGTGGGATTGGTAAAGGTGGGAATGGGCATGGTTGGGGGATTCACATCGCAGAAGGGATAGATGGGGCAGCAAACAAGAGAAGCATGCCTCCATGACGAGTTGAGTTCACACCCAACTATAAGGCCCCAACCCTGAGGAGATCCTGGGAGTGCACATTCTTGGGCTGCACGCAGCTGACACCTTTCTACTCCGTTTCTCCCCTCCTCACTTGTCAGATGATCTACCGCCCAGACACGGGGGAGATCCTGGGCGTGCACATCCTGGGGCTACACGTAGCGAACCTCATTCCACTCTGTTTCTCCCCTCCCTCTCATGATGTATCACACACCTTGTGTATCATATGAATTGTACCCTTTTCAGATGATTTACCGCCCAGACACCGGGGAGATCCTGGGCGTGCACATCCTGGGGCTGCACGCAGCTGACCTCATTCACGAGGTCTCCAACGCCATGGCCACCGGCCAAACCCTCAACGTACGCACATGGGAAGATTCAGAGCAGTATTTCAGTCTCTTCACTGAATTTTTGTCAAATGCACTTCTGTTCATAACTTGGTTTCACTCACTTCACTCGATCCAGGCCAGTGCCTTTCCTCATTCCCATTCCATCCATGTCATTCTGTCTACCCGTGTGCACCATCCCATGCCATAATTTGCAGGATATCAAGTTCGCCGTCCACGCCCACCCAACTCTCTCTGAGGTCATTGACGAGCTTTACAAGAGTGCCAAGGTAAGGGATCGTGTCATGCCGAGTCGCTGAAGGCATATTTTGGACTTTATGACGTGATGCATTGAATGTTGTCGCGATATGGATTGAGCTAAAAGTCCCTGCTATGATTTACTCATTGTTTCTTTCCTGTCCTTGCAGTATGGAGCTCATGCGCATGCTTAGATGGAACTCGAGAGCATCAAGAAGCTGAATAACAATTTTGTTGTTCTTTGATGTATGTTAGGTATTTGTTCTCCCCAACTAAAATGGGGAGGAATGTAGTCATTCAGAAACCCCAAAATGTTCGTTCTAGATTATTCAGCATTGAAGTGAAATATTTTTGCATTGTAGGGTAGAACTACCAAATACATGTCACGATGAGGATAAGGTTAAATTGGACTGGAGTAATATGTGCAAGAACTTTGTAGCGCAGATGCACCGAAGCGGGGATATCACGCCTGATCAAATTCAGGGTTCCCATGCAGCCAATGCCACGCGAATTCACAGACACGGTACAGTTGTTCCTAGCTGCTAGAAACACCGAGTTGCCCTAGTAGCGGCTTGCGATTCTTGTATATGCATCCGCTTTAGACGCGCGTCGTAAGCCTCGACTCGAGCTAGACTCGAGAGGACAGTGGAAGTTGCCGATGCTCGTATCGCCTGCATCTTCTAAATCTCGGGAATCCGCCAGTTTCCACGGTTTCCATTGACACGGCGCAGACGCTGACCAGCTCCTGACGTCAGCATCCTTCTTCTCCGTCAGAGATCGGTTCATGATTCACAAAACACACGCCAGATAGACAGACTGACATCCGTTAATTCACGAGCCAATGGCGGAGTCTCCCAAGTCCCCGAGAAGGTACGTCCTTCAGTTGACCAGCAGTTTTTATATTCGCCTAAAAAAGTACTGCAAGTCCTCGAGCTCCTCGTCACCTCTCGTGAAATTAGGGTGTTTTTTAGACGCCTCAAAAAGCAAGTCCTCGAGCTCCTCGTCACCTTCTCCTAGACGGTACGACCGCTTCAGTCTTCAGCATCGTTCCCGTTTAGTCACAGCACAGGATGTTATTATTCCGGTTGCATCTCAGCATCGTGGCTGCACTCTTGGCTCTAAACATTCAGGATCAATGGGCAGCAGCAACAACGGTCAGAAATGAGACGAGTTTTGAGTCGACTCAAAACTTGTCTCAGGTGTTTCTGAGATAAGTGGATCAGGACCAGTTGGCACCAGCAACGCTCAGAAATTTCAAGACGTCCCATCCTTGTTTGCTGCTGCCCCTGTTTCCCCCCTCCTGCTCTCTCTGTTTCTAGCAGTCCCCCCTCAGCCAACTCTCAAGGAGCGTACTTGGGTGTGTTTGGGTCCGGAAACTCAGGCGGATCAGGAGGATTGGGGGGATTGGGGGGACTAGGAGCAAATGGTAATGGCAGCAGTGGTGGCATCAGCAGCAGCGGTATGGCAGCTGGAGACACGGGAGGAGTGGTGGGAGGAGGAGTGGTGGGAGGGGATATTGGGGGCGATGGCATGCCGATGGGGCCTCATGTGCACCATCACGTGACGCCTGATGGACGGTGGGTATGCATGACCATGGCATGACTATGTGAGGACCATGGGATGATTATGTCAGGACCATGGCCCCTCAAGGGCAGATGGCACACCAATGGGACCTCGTGTGCACCATCATGTGACGCGTGAGTGATAAACGTTGTGTATGCATGACTGTGGAAGATAGGTAGGTCTACCCATGGAAGGTAGGTACGTCTGAACATGTCATGATTATGCTCCCAATCCATCCCAGGGTGGTGGTGTATGAGACAGTGCATGACCATCTGCTGAACGTGCTCCACCTCTCCCCATCCCACTCCATCCCATCCCATCCCCTCTCAGGGTGGTGGCGTATGAGACAGTGCAGGACCGACTGCTGAACTTCTTCCACGAGGCAGCAGGCACATCTGGTCCTTCTCGCACACTGTTGCTCGCGTTGACGTCATCTCACTCCACCGCTCCGCACTCCATCCCATCCCATCCCAGGGTAGTGCCATACGAAACAGTTCAAGACCGGCCCCTGAACGTGTTCCGCAAGGCAGCTGGCTACATCTGGTCCTTCTCGCACACCGTTGCACGTCGACGTCGTCCGTCTCATCATTACCTCCCTTCCCATTCCCCTTCCCTCCCCTCTCAGGGTAGTGGCGTACGAGACGGTGCAGGACAGATTACTCGATGTCTTTCGCAAAGCTGCTGGCTACATCTGGCCCTTCTCGCACACCGTTGCCCCTCCTCTCCTCTCCTCTCCGTCATTGATTCCCATCCCAGGGTGGTGGCATACGAAACAGTGCAGGACCGTTTAATGAATGTGTTCGGCAAGGCAGCTGGCTACATCTGGTCCTTCTCCCACACCATTGCACGCATCGACGTCGTGCGTCCCATCACCACCTCCCACCGCCGCCGCCGCTATCGGGACGATGACGACGGCAACAGGGGCAGGAGCAGCAACGGCTTGAGCAGCAGTTACTTTGGTGCGAGGGACAGCTCTCCTGTGTGGAGGGCGAGGAGGCAGGGCGGGAGGAGGCGAGATGAGGACGAGGAGGGGGGAATGATACAGGGGATCAATCACGGGTTGTATGGGGAGGGTGCGAGATTGAAGCTGATGCAGATCTGGGACTTTCCGGATAAGGAAACGGGCAAGCCCAGGCTTCCATACGGGCTCAACTTTGGAGGTGAGCCGAGCTTTCCCTTTAGATGGCGTAGTGTTCTGTTCTTTGAAGACAGCTGTGTATGTATGGGGAGGGGGCGCGGCTGAAGCTGATGCAGATCTGGGACTTTCCGGATAAGGAGACAGGAAAGCCGAGGCTTCCATACGGGCTCAACTTTGGAGGTGAGGTTGTCGTGGGATGGCATGATGTTCTGATGTAGCATGATGTTCTGATGTAGCATGATGTTCTGATGTAGCATGATGTTCTGATGTAGCATGATGTTCTGATGTAGCATGATGATGATGATGTGGCATGATGTTCTGATGTAGCACGATGATGATGATGTAGCATGATGTTCTGATGTAGCACGATGATGATGATGTAGCATGATGTTCTGATGTAGCACGATGATGATGATGTAGCATGATGTTCTGATGTAGCACGATGATGATGATGAAGGGGGTTGGGTATTGATGTGAAGGGTTGGATACTTACTGATAAGCTCATGCAGGTCTGGGACTTTCCGGATAAGGAGACAGGGAAGCCGAGGCTTCCATACGGGCTCAACTTTGGAGGTGAGATCTTCAAGGGATGGCAGGATGTTTTGCTGTGGCGTGATGATGAAGGGGTCGGGTATTGATGTGAAGGGTGGGTACGGGCAAGCTGATGCAGGTCTGGGACTTTCCGGACAAGGAGACGGGAAAGCCAAGGCTGCCATATGAGCTCAACTTTGGAGGTGAGCTGAGCTTCTTGTTGGGATGGTGTCATGTTGCGATCTTGTAGGGAATGTGCATGCCTCTTTGGGATACCAATGTGGGGGCTCCCTTCTGGGGAGAAGGGTAGCGATGTGGTATCCTCATGCTTGGCTGTCTACTTTGTTTCCTGTTTGACCTTGATTACTCTTTTTCCTATCCTCGTTTTCTCTGTACCATACATACACCATTACACACCCTACGCACACCTTGGATGCACGCATGCATGCACATGCAAGGGCAGTTGGGGCGAATTACGAGGTGAATGGGAGCCGCCTGGAGCCCAAACTGAGAATCCGAACCCCCCACGTGGCCCTGCAACTGCTTCCCGAACCTGACATTGAGCTTCGGGGGAAGTGGAGGCTCGGCACCACAAATGTTGCGCTTGATGTTCGTTACACGTGAGTGAACGATTGAGTGCGTAAGAGAGTAAGTGAGTAAGTGAGTGAGTAGGTGAGTGAGTGATAGGAATGTGTGCAGCTGCTGCTGGATATTGCTGCACTTCGCTGCATGCTTTTGTCAAGTAAAAATGTAGGAAGTGCTATGCTCCGCTTTGACTTCCCCCCATCCCATTTTTGCAGCCTGCCTCTGTGTTCCTTCGACCGCTTCTGGGACCGGGCAGCTGAAATGGGGCAGAGTGTTATTGAATCCTCACAGCACGTCCGAACATATGACTCATAGCACGTCCGAACATATGACTCATAGCACGTCCGAACATATGACTCATAGCACGTCCGAACATATGACTCATAGCACGTCCGAACATATGACTCATAGCACGTCCGAACATATGACTCATAGCACGTCCGAACATATGACTCATAGCACGTCCGAACATATGACTCATAGCACGTCCGAACATATGACTCATAGCACGTCCGAACATATGACTCATAGCACGTCCGAACATATGACTCATAGCACGTCCGAACATATGACTCATAGCACGTCCGAACATATGACTCATAGCACGTCCGAACATATGACTCATAGCACGTCCGAACATATGACTCATAGCACGTCCGAACATATGACTCATAGCATATCACTGTGCCTTCTCTCTCGTTCCTCGTCCCACCTCTGCAGCCTGCCTCTGCGTTCTTTCGACCGCTTCTGGGACCGGGCGGCTGGAGTGGGGCTGTCAGTGAACCTCTTCAACCCCATTGGCACAGGCTTCCATCTCTCCCCCGGAGGTATGTTCTACCCCACAGCATCTCACAAAACCTCACAATATCTTGCAGCATCCCACAGCAGCTTCTAAGTATCTCATAGCTGACTTATTCACAACCTGTTGGTCTCTCCTCATGGTTCCTTGTCCCTTTCCGTGCAGGGTTGGAGTTTGACGAGCAGGTGGTTCGGTTAGGCAAGCACACGAAGCTTCGCCTGGCCGCAACATTCATGTTTCCAAAACACCTGCCTCTGGAGGAAGACGAGGATCCGATCCGAGTGCGCGTCAACCGATTAGGAATCAAGACGCGGCTAGCATGAAGGGATGGATTCGACAGGAGATGAAGTTGCATAAATTTAGGTAAGTAGCAGTAACTAGGGACTTGATTTGGATCTGTTCTTTCCTACGCAACAGGCTCACATTATTTTAGAGCCTGTGAACTTTGTCATTATAAAGGCGGTGCGATATGGAGTGTAGAGAGAAATGCATCCGGCTGTAGCGCGAACACGCAGGAGTTTTCGGGTTGCGAGGAACATTCGGTGGCAGACCTGTCCTCCTGCCCCAAGCACGTCTGTCAGGTCGGTGTCGCTGGCGGGAAAACAGCAGGCCAACCGCAAACGTGCGAAGTTTGTTCGGGCAGCGACACTGAAAATTTCACAAGCAATAGCACTAAATTTTATGGTCATCGCCCTATGCCATGCCATGGTAGTTGTTGCAGAAACACAAAACGGGCGAAACTAGGCTGATCCGGATTCTGAAGACTGGAAGCAACAGATGATCAGTAAAAACCCAAATACGCCTGAGAAACACTGACGATCAGTTCGGTGCACAAGGTTAGCTGGAGAGATTCGCGCAGGTTCGTGATCCATGTCCGGTCCTATCAGTTCTTGCCGATCAGCAGTAACTATTTGAACTCATAGAAGGCGATCTTGCCGTTCAAGACCGAGTCCGTACCTTGGGGTTAAAGACTTGTTTCCAAGAAAGAAGCGGCCTTTTTGTTTTCGTGGTCTCTATCCTTGCGATCCTTGCGAAGCTCATAAAAAACACTTACTGTGCTAAGACCATACAAAATCTTCTTGATTCAATCGTACCTCAGCAGATCAGATCTCACTTCTCAGTATCGTATATTGCAGTAACATTTCGCCATGTCGGTTCGCAGCAAATTCACAAGCGTCAATCTCAACAGCTCCTTCGGGAGGCAGAGCCCATCCCAATCTCAATCCGGTGCCGGGCAAACCACAGCCGTCGGATCCAGATTCGGACGGACAGGATCGTTCGGGAGCATGATGGTACTGGGGAAGGTCGCAACTCCCAGCGCGTTAGGGGCGAGCAAGAGCGGGAAGCTGGTTGTGCCGAAGCCGGTTAACCTGCCGTCGCTGCGACGGGAGCACGCGGGCAACGATCCGTCCGTCTCGCTTGTTCCCGCAAGCAGCACAGTCTCGGGATGGCAGAGGCCCCCAGGAGGGAAGCCGCAAGGAGAAGGGACGTCTGCAGCTACTCCTTCACTATCAGCATCAGCATCAGCATCAGCATCAGCGTCAGCAGCGGCAGCAGCAGCAGCAGCAGCAGCAGGAGTATCAGCCGCAGTTCGTTCGTCAAGTGCGACACACGAGGCGCGACGGTGCGTCTCGCTCTCCCCTCCTCCTCAAGGTTTCGACTTCCCGCCGATTTCAGCAGCAGCAGCAGCAGCGGCAGCAGCGGTGTCTGGAGCCGAGCCGAGTCGCGCCTCCTCGGCGCACCGACCTGGGGTGTACCAACCACCAGGCTCACGTGGCGGTAGCAGTGCCACGTCAGCCACCACATCAACTGTTTCGGCAGTTGGCAACACCGGGGTTGTTTTACGCGGGGAGGATTTTCCTTCGCTGGATGATGCGACAAAGAAGCCAGCAAGCAGTGTTTCCGCAAGCGTCGGGCGCGGTAAGGAGCAACAGGGCAAGAAGAAAACGAAGGCGCTAGAGGCTAATAACGGGGATGAGCTGGCCCGATCGGCGCAGGAGCGCGGCGGAGGGGACGAGGCAGGCCGGGCGACGGAACGGTCCCAGGGTAACGATGCGGCGACGAAACGGGTTACCAGTGGGCGATGGGGTGACGAAGAGTCGGATCACGAGCAGAACGAACGAGATCCTTTGTCCGGATCACAGCCTAACAAGGCGCCAGGGTTCATTTCCAGAGACCAAGGCGGCGAGGCTTCTGGCGATTCCGCTACTTTCGGTGCGGACAGGATGGACAGACATCCCCGTTATAAGGAGAACGAGAGACCGAGCAGGCATGGCGATGGCATGCTTCCGCCGAATCGGTTCGGTCCGCCACCCGGGGGAGGCTTCCGCCGACCTTCCCCCCCGCGCAGAGCATGGGCGGACGATGAGCGGGACCTTGCGCCACCCCAACCCTATCCGCCTCCTGGGGGAAGACTGCCTTTTCCGCACAGATTCGACGGTCCGAGGGGTCAATTCGACGGTTATGGTCCCCCCATGGGTGGAGACCCGGGGGGGTTTCATGCTAACGGATGGGATTCTAGAGAGGGCTTCCGCGATTATGGGCCGAGAAATGGCGCCAGGGAGTGGCACGGGGATCCGAGGCATAACGAGGCGGGCATGTGGCGGAGGGAGGACGCGCGCGGATGGGCGGAACGGCCTCCCGCTGGGAGAGGCGGAAGAGGGCCGGGACCAGGCCCCCCAGGACCCCCAGGCCCCCCGGGTCCGCCGGGTCCGCCAGGCCCCCCGCCCCACCCAGGCCTCCCAGGTCCCCCGGGTCCCCCAGATCCCCGAGGCCCCCCGGGACAAGCGGGACGGCCAGGGCCGTTAGGTCCGCCGGGGCCGCCGGGACTGCTAGGGGCGCCGGGGTCAGGAGCAGCAGGGGGGCCGCCAGGGCCGCCTTTCCCGGGTGAGTATGAGCGGTACGGGCCCATGGGGGATGGGGGGAGAGGAAGAGGGGGTAGTGGTGGTGGATATGGTCCGAGGGGGGAATTTGCCAGGGGTTTCGGGCCAGGCCAGGCTTTTGGCCCCGGTCAGGGTTTTGGGCCCGGTCAGGGGTTTGGACCTGGTCAGGGTTTTGGGCCGGGTCAGGGTTTCAGGCCGAACAGGGAAGGTGGAGGGAGGGGCATGGGCCCGGAAGTTTTTGCCCATGGGCCGAGAATGGAATTGCAGTCCTTGCCACGTGTAGGAGTTGAACCTCCGCCTAGCCTTGGGCTTGGGCCGCTGGGGCTGCTGAGGCGGAAGAAACTGGAGGGCGAGGGTGGGAGGTCGGAGTTTCGGGACTTGGAACGAGAGAGGTTTGAAGAGGAGCTCGAGAGGTTGCAGTCGCAGAAGGATAAGGAGAAGGTGAGGAAGGAGGAGGAGGAGCAGCGGGCGGCGGAGGTGGCGAGGCAGCAGCAGGAGGAGGCGGTGAGGAGGGGAAGAGAGGAGGAGGAGAGGAGGCGGAGGGTGGAGGAAGGGGAGAGGGAGGCGGCGAGGAGGGCTAAGGTGGAGGAGGAGGAGGCGGTGAGACGGGTGGAGGAGGAGAGGAGGCGAGTGCAGGAGGAGAGGCGGAAGATTCAGGAGGAGGAGGAGAGGAGGAAGGAGAATGCGAGGAGGAAGTTGGTTGAGTTGGAAGAGAGGATTGCGAGGAGGAAGGCTGAGGAGGAGGAGAGGAAGAGGAGGGAGGAGGGGAAAGAGGAGGAGGAGGGGAAAGAGGGGAAGGAGCGTAAGGGAGCAGAGGAGCGGTGTGGGGTGGTGACCGGTGCTGGGCTGGAGCAGCAGGGTGGGGCCTCGGTGAGTGTGGCAGAGTTGAGTCTTGAGGAAAAGGGTGCGGTGCTTGGGGAGGGGCGAGAACACGAGGGGCAGGGACAGGGGCAGGAGCAGGGGCAGGGTCAGGGGCAGGGGCAGGGGCAGAGGCAGGGGCAGCATAAGCAGAAAGGAAAAGTCGCACCAGAATGCTCTCAAGAAGAAGAAGGAGCTGCAATTGGGGCTAAACCTGTTGGTGGTGATGGCGGCAGCATCCAGGAAAATTCTGAGTCGACTCAAGAGGTTGCAGCTGCTGGTCCTGAGGGGGAGAGCCGTCAAGAGATTGCAGATAAGGACGAGAAGAATGGAACCGTTGATTACGTGGCAAAAGGTGACACGTGGGAAGATGGCGAGGGGGTTTGTGGTGAGCAGAAAGCGATAGGGCGCGAAGTGGGAGGGGTGGGTGGGGAGAGGTTGCAAGAGGAAATGAAGGAGGTCGGGGGAGAGGGAGGAAGAGGGGTTGAGGGAGTGGGAGAAGGAGTAGGAGAGGGAGGGGGAACGGACGACTCTCAGCTTAACCTTCAGGAGTTGCACAAAGCGCAGCAGCAGGTGCAGCAGAAGGAGCAGCAGGAGCTGCAGCAGCAGCAGCAGCAGCAGCAGCAGCAGGAGCGGCAGGAGCAGCAGAAGCAGCAGGTGGGGCCTTTGGCTGGGTCCGCCGCTGTCCCACCGCTCTATCATGCGAGTGCGGATGCGAGGCAGAAAGGAATGGGCGAGAGGCAGCAAGACGCGAGTCAGCAAGGCAACCACGCAAGCACTCAGCGTTTCTTTGACCCCAGTGTTCGCACGGAAGGGCCTTCTGCTGGGAAGTATGCGGGTGGTGATGCTCATATGAAAGGTGAAGGCTCAGACCGGGCCGGGTTTGGGTTTTCGCCGTGGAATCAGCATCAGCTGCAGCAGTACCAGCAGCAGCAGCAGCAGCAGCAGCAGCAGCAGCAGCAGCAGCAGCAGCAGCAGCAGCAGCAGCAGCAGCAGCAGCAGCAGCAGCAGCAGCAGCAGCAGCAGCAGCAGGTGCAGGGGATTTCGTTTCCTGCGTACGGATTTCCTGGCCCAGGCCCTATCTTGCGCTCCCATCAGTTCGCCCCACCTTATCCTCACTTCCCTGCAATGCAGCAGCAGCATGTGCACCCCCACCCCTTCCACCAGCCTTTCCCGGGGCAGCAGCAGCAACAACAGCAACAGCAGCAGCAGCAACAGCAACAGCAGCAACAGCACCAGCAGCACCAGCAGCAGCAGCACCAGCAGCAGCAGCAGCAACAGCAACAGCAGCAACAGCACCAGCAGCACCAGCAGCAGCAGCACCAGCAGCAGCAGCAGCAGCAGCCACCGTTGCTGCACCGGCCGCCTGGGCTTGCTCCTGGGTTTCTCGCGCATGGGAATGCTGGCCGCGGCTTTGCCTCGTTCTCTGACAATGCCCCAGCAGTGGGAGCAGTGGGAGCAGTGGGAGCAGTGGGGCAAGTGGGGGCAGGTTCAGTGGGTACTGTGAACTCAGTTTCAGGCGGAGGAGCAGCAGGGGGTGGGGCAGGAGGAAGAGGAGCAGGCGGAGGAGGAAGGGAAAGTGGTGGTGTGGCAGCGGGCAGGGCGGGGCACCAAAGGAAGGACGAGTTTGGAGGGAGAGAAATTGGTGGTGGGAGAGAGGCGGGCAGTGGGAAAGAGGCGGGCAGTCAGGGACAAAAGCGGTTTACAGAGATGGGTAATGGTGGTGGGGTGGTGGGGAGAGACAGTCAATGGGGAGAGTCTGGGTCCGGGCAGTATCTGGAATGGAGACGGATCGGACCTGAACCTGCTCCAGGTATGTTTCTCGGGCAGGCTCGGCAGCCCGGAGCAGAGCAGTGGCAGGGGCGGGCTGGTTTCGGGCAGGAGGAAATTTCTGGTGGATCGGGACGGGCGGACGGGCGAAATTGGGCGAATCAACTGAATGGAGTAGGAGGGGGGGATGGGCATGAGAGGAGAGGAGAGATGGGGCAGCAGATATGCAATTTAGGGTTGCAGGTGGGGAAGGGAGAGGGAGAAGGGCGGGCAGAGGGGAGGGAGAGGGGTGTGATGGGAGGGATGGGTGTGGAGCATGATTCGGAAATGAGTGAATCTGAAAGTCTTCCTGCTGATGTGGTGAATGAGTTGGGGGCGCTGCTGTCAGATCGAGACGAGGGTATGTCTGATAGAGAGGAGGGGCTGGTGGGAATGGGTGATCATGAGCGGGAGGTGATTGGTGGAGAAGAGAAGGAGAGGGTGGGGGGAAACGAAGGGCTGGATTCTGTTAAAAAAGAGGGAGGGGTGGGTGATAAGGGAATTGTGGGTGGTAAGGGAGGGGTGGAGGCGGAGGGGAAGCAGCTTTCGGGTGGAGAGACGGCAAGAGCTTTTGAAGAGAATGGGAACGGGACTGCCCCTGCTGCTGCATCTGCTGCTAGTGCTGCTTCCAAGCCGTCTCTCCCGTCCCTAATGCGTTCCTCTGGAGCTCCCTTTGTCATCCAAATCGGTTCTGTGCCTCTCACTGTTGGCGGGCCTGCCCAGCTGCCCGGGCAGAGTGAAATTTCTGGAGCGTGCCCTGTGCCAATGTTTCAGTTCGGGCAGATTGGGGTGCCGGCGTCAGTGTCACCTCCTCTGCAGGCTGGTGCTCGACCCATTGGGTCTGATATTTCAGGGATAAGCACGCAAAGAGACATGCCACAGCATCCGCCACTGAACCAGCAGCAGCAACCACCAAAGCAGCAGCAGCTGCCACCGCCAAATCAGCAGCAACAGCAGCAGCAGAAGCGGGAGGGAGCAGCTGATCAGGTAGCTTCTTCGAGGAAGGAGGTACCTGTGCAAAGGGTGGTGGCACTCGAGCCGTTGCTGCCCCTTCCTGTTTCAGCGGCTGTTCCTGGCAGTGGCAGGGCAGCAGCAGCTTCACTGCCAGCAGCAGCAGGATCGGCAGTAGCAGCAGGGTTGACAGGAGCAGCAGGAGCAGGAACAGGGCCGGGAGCAGCAGGAGCAGTGGCGGTGGGAGGGGGGGTAGGTGTAGAGCAGAGGGACGGTGCTGGTGCAGGTGTGAGTGTGGCGGATCGCAGGCAAGCTGTGGGGCGGGGAGGGGGGGTTCAGAGGAAGGGGAGGGAGCAACTGAGGCAGGGAGAATTAGAGGGAGGTAGGATTGCGGGAGGGGCAGAAGGAGACGTTTCGGGGATAGCAGCAGCGGCAGCAACACAACCAGCAGCAGCGGCTGCAGCTGCGGCAGCAGCAATGGCGGGGCCAGCTGTAGGGGTTAGCAGTGGTAGGGGGGCAAGGGGAGGAAGGGGAGTGAGGGGTGGTCATGCAGGGGGGCAGGTTGGGCAGGCACAAGGGCAGGGACAAGGACAGGTGCAAGCAACCCCATCACATGGCCGTGGGAAAGGCAGGGATGGGTTTACCACCACCCCTTTGGTTCCTGGTATGTCTGCTCGACCTGGACTTGCAGCCTCGGCTGTTGGTGCGGTAAATGGTCCGGTAACAGGTTCGGCTGTAGCTCCGGCGGCTGGTTCGGCAGCAGGAACGACTCCTGCTTGGTTCGTTGCTCAGGGCGTGAGGGTTCAGGAGGGGAGGGCTGGACAGTATCTGGAGGTGCAAGGAGCAGGGTATTCTGAGATTAGAGGGAGTGATGGTGTGGTGGTGAGGACGAGGATTGGAGGGAGGGGAGGAGGCGGGGATAGGAGGAGGGGTGGCGGAAGGGGGAGAGGGGGAGATGTGGTGGGAAGGCAGGTGGGGGAGAGAGGAGGGAAGGGAGGGGAGAGTGGGGGGAAGAGAGAGGAGGTGGGTGTGAGAGTCCAGGGTGTGACCGTACTGCAGGGTGATAGTAAGGGAGTGGGTGGGGCCTGTGATGAAGCTCAGGTGAAGCAGGCAGCTGTAGCTGAAACTGTAGCCAAAACTGTTGTTGAGATTGTAACTGAAACTGAAACTGTAGCTGAAACCTCAGCTGAAACTGTGGCAGAAACTGAAGTGAAAAGTGCAGCTGAAACCGTTGCTAAAGCTGAAGCTGATGCTGCTGACGGTGTAAGTGGGTTGCTGCAGCCTGGGTCCTCACCTGGGCGGTCTGCTGGGGGAACAAAGCCTCTGGCAGGTGCTGAGAGTGACGTGGCTTCAGGTGCTTCTTCAGGTGTTTTTTCAGGTGGTTCAGACAGTGGAGTGTCTGAGGTGGAAGGGGCGTATGAGAGTGCGGAGGGGTCTGAAGGGGAGGAGGAGAGTGGGGAGCACGAGGCCAGGAGGACAGAAGAGAAGGAGCAGCAAGAGAAGGAGCTGAAACAGGAAGGAAAGGAGGTAAAAGGGGCGGCGGATGGGGCGAGGGAGGGGGAGGGGGAGGGGAAGGGAACTGCAGAGTTGCAGGTTGGTTCAGAGGGGAAAGCTCCAAAAGGTAGTGCGAGTGGGGATGGGAGTCAGCACTCACAGCCCAATGCTCGTGAGGGAGAAAAGCAGCAGCAGCAGCAGCAGCAGTCGAAGCGAGCAGTGAGCATTCGTCGGCCTTTCTCCATGTTCCCAACCGCCTTCCTCTCCTCCCTAGGGTTCCTCTCTGGCGCCTCCTCCTCCGCCTCCTCCCCTTCCTCCACCTCGCCTCCAGCAGGGAAAACCCCCTCTGAAGCACCATCGGAAGCTCTATCCCAAGGGGCAGGTAATGCATCAGTGCGGGCAGCAGACGGATCAGAAGGACCAGAAGAAACAGCAGGGCCGTCGGTGGGGGATAAGTCACAGGCAGCCTCCAGTGCAGCAACAGCTGATGATTCCGGTGCTTCACCTGCTGCTGCTGCTGGTCTGGGTGTGGATGTGTCCGCCTCAGCAACTGTAGCAGCAGTAGCAGGAGAAGAAGACACAGCAGCTGCAGCAGTGAAAGACGCGTCTAAGAAGGCTGCAGCGGGTGGTTCTGCTCCAGCTGCTACAGCAGGAGGTTCCCTAGTGGAACCACGCGCAGGGTCTAGGGGCAGAGAGAGAAAGGGGAAGAATTCGGGTGTGGGCAGGGAAGGGGCGGGAAAAGGGTTGACTGGGCAGCAGGGCAGCAAGCAGCGGGCAGGCGTGAGGGCAGCGGCCCCTGAATCTGGCGCTGGTGCTGGCGACAGCAAGAGCAGTGGAAGCAAGGAGGAGAGAAGAGAGGGGGGGCATGGGCATACGAAGCTTGACTGGCTAGTTTCGAGGCTGGAGAGTTTGGGGGATTCCGAGGTGCCGCTGGGAGGAGGGATAGTGAAGGTTTTTGAACAAATAGGGGTGGAGCATGGAGATGGGGAGGATGATGGGGGGTTTGTTACTGTGCAGTCGAAACGGGGGCGGAGGGAGCAGCGGGAGAGGGAGCAGAGGGAGAGGGAGCGAGAGGAGAGGGAGAGGGCGAGGGAGAAGGAGAAGGAGAAGGAAAGGGAGAGGGAGAAGGAGAGGGAGAAGGAGAGGGAGCGAGAGCGGGAAGTGAAGACTCGAAGGCGGGAGCAACGTGTGAGTGCAATAGTCTGTCTGTGTGCTGCACTTTCAGTTTCATATCTGCACTTTCAGTTTCAGTTACCCTAACGTTACCAATAACGGTTTTGCCTCCAAACCTTTTTGGCTTTGTTTTCTCCCACCCCCCCCCCCCCCTCCTTTGTCTGTTATGTAAATCTCTGTTCCTGTTTCTACCTGTCATCTTCATATATGAATGAAATTGTATTTTTTGCAGATGAAGGAACAGCAGCAGCAGCAGCAGCAAAAGCGCAAACGCCCAGTCAATCCAAACACCACTGGCGTTGGTGTGACCCTCCCTGCTACAACGGCTGCTACAGCTTCTGCTGAAACTGCAGTCACGGTTTTTATTGCTGCTGCTGGTGGTGATGAGCAGGTAAGCTTATTAGACTTCATATTCAGGCCTGTTCATCTTTGCAAGTCCAGTTTCCTGTCCCCTTGACTGAAACATGCGTTCCTCTCCTGTCCCCTTGGCCTAAGCATGTTGCTGTTGTTTTTTTTGTTTTTTTTTTTTTTCAAGCAGATTCCTCTTCCTGCGCCTGAGTCTGTGAAACCCACTTCTGCGCTGCTTTCTGCAACTGCATCAAGAGGCAACCCTGTCACGCATGCTGTGCCAGCTGTGGCACCTCCTCCCAGGATACTTGTCACTCCTCCCATGGCTGCTCCAGTGGTTGCTTCGGTGGTGGTTGCTTCGGCGGCTGCTTCGGTGGTGGTTGCTTCGGCGGCTGCTTCGGTGGTGGTTGCTTCGGCGGTTGCTCCAGTGCAACTCCAGCAGACGCACCAGAAGCAGCAACAGAATAGTCAGGAGCAGCAGAAACAGCAGCAGCAGCTGCAACAACCGCAGCAACAGGAGCAGGGAGAGCAGGGAGGGGGAGAGCAAGGAGAGCAGGCGCAGAGGAAGGGGCAGCAGAAGCAGGGCCGGCAGAGGGGCAGCAGGGGAGGTAGGGGCGACAGGGGAGGGAAGCAGCGTCAGGAGTGGCGAGTGGCTGGAGGCCCTGATGCGAGCTGTGATCAGCCGCCAGCTCAGCAGCAGCCAGCTCAGCAGCAGCCGACACAGCAGCAGCCATCTCAGCAGCAGGTGCAGGAGCAACCAGAGAAGCTGCTGCAGCAGGAACGTGAAGGACAGGGGTTGGAGGAACAGCAGCCACAGACAGAACAGCAGCAGCAGCAGCAGCCGCTGCAGCAACAGGAACAACAGAAGCAGGTGCAGCAGCAGCAGCAAGAGAAGGGGCAACAAGAGCAGCACAAGAAAGACGAGGAGCAGCACAAGGCAGGGGGTGAAGTAGGTGTGGTGCTGCTACAGCTGAACCAGCATCAGCAGCATCATCTGCCGGTGCTGCAACAGCAGCAGGAGCAGGGGCAGCAGCAGGAGCAGGGACAGCAGCAGGAGCAGCCGCAGAAGCAGCAGCAGGAGGAAAGGCAGCAGCAGCAGCAGCAGCAGCAGGAGGGGCAGCAGTTGGTATCAGCCCCAGGTGATGGTTTCACTCCAACTAATGCCATGCCCCCCTTTCCAATAGCACCAGGAGCTCTGCCCGCTTCTGCCGCCCCAAGCTTCCACCCCATGCATATGTTCCCAGGCATGGTACCCCATCAGGCCATGGTAACGAATCAAGGTATGATGAACCCTCAGGGTATGATGATGCCTCAGGGGATGCTGCCCCATATGCCCTTGTCCCATTTCCCCATGCCCCAGCCGCATGCTCTTCCACATGTGGCCCATGGCATGCCTGGTCACGCCATGCCAAACCATGCCATGCACCCTACTCATGCCACGCCAAACCATGCCATGCACTCGGGTCCTCCCATGATGCTCTTTCCTGGGCCTCCTTTTCCCAATGGGCAGTTCGGGCAGGTGGGTCAGCCCATGCAAGCAGGCATTTCCCTGTCAAATTTCGGGCAGGTTGGAGGAACGGGGCAGGAAGGATTGGGGCACGTAGGTATGGGGCAGGTAGGAGTGGGGCAGGCGGGTATGGGTTTTCCTATGTCACAGTATGGCCAAGGGGTATATAATGTGAGTGCAAGCACCCAAACGTACATGGGGCATCAGCAGCAGCAGCAGCAGCAGCAGCAACCAACGCAGAAGAAAGAGGAGGGAAACAGCCAGAAAGGCAGGCAGAGGCAGAAGCAGCGGCACAAGCAGCAGCAGGGAGGGGTGGCCGAAAGGGGAAACCAGTCAGTTAATCAGTCAGGCAGTCAGTCTCAGTCACAGTCTGACGAATCACGGAACGCGTCGCACTCGCGATTAGAAGTGCCTGGCAGCATGGGTCGCGCTCGTGGAGGTGTCGTTCCTCCTCCGCGGTTCCAGCAGCAGCAGAGTCAGCAGCAGCGGCAGCAGCAGGTGCAGGGGCATACACAGCAGCAGTGGCAGCAGCAGCACCGCTACATGCAGCAACAGCAACAGCAACAGCAGCAGCAGCAGCAAAACGTACAGACCCAGCAGCAGCAGCAGCAGCAGCAGCAGCAGCAGCAGCAGCAGCAGCAGGGCGTGCGTGATGGTTCGGCAGTGATGGTACTTGGTCAGCAGCCACAGGTAGTGTTCCCTGTTCACCTGCCTTCGCCTTAAGTGTTTGAGATTCTCTCAACCTGCCTTTGCCTCTTCTTATGCAAATATTAGAAACTGTAGTGTTTCCTGCTTCACCTGGTTGGCCTTTTACCGTTGATGTTACCTGTTCATTCCTTCATTCTTCTCCACACCCCCACGTCCCTGCAGGTGTCACAACAGCAGCCCTCACAGCAGCAGCCCTTACAACAGCAGTCCATGCCTTACCACTGGCCACACCTTCCCCAGTTTCCACCTCCCCCCATGGGCCCTGCATTGCCTTCCCCCCCCATCGGTCCCTCCCTCCTCCCATTCCCTCCTCCTGCTCTTTTCTCCTCTCAACACCTTCAACCCCAACCCACTCAACAGTCTTTCGCAGCAGCGCCGCCCCTGCTTTCCCATACCAGCGCCCCAGCTTCGGCTACGTCACATGCCGAAGCAGCCGGTGGTATGGCAGGCTCCCAAGCCTTGAAGCTAGGCTTGGAGGGTGGTAGCAGGGGTGGAGGTGAGAAAGACGGGGGAGGAAGCTGGGTAGAAGGAAGCAGGAAGGAAGGTCGGGAGCAGATTCTTGGAGTGTCTGCTAGTCCCAGGGAAGCTTCTGCAACAGCCGCTGCTGCTGTCGGCGTTGGTGCTGTCAAAACAGTCGGCAGGTGACAGCTCTGCTACTACTGCCACTGCCGATGCTGCGGCTGTGGCTGCTTCTACATCTTCTGGCATTACCGCCTCCAGCGCGATCGACGATCATCGGTTCCCAGAAACTCTGGGTGATGGGGACACCACCTTGATTTCCGGCAATGCCAGCTTGACTTCATCCTCTGTGCCGCACTCAAGCGCCCAGTCCCTCTCCTCTCGCCCTCTGCTGCACACACATGCTCAGCATGCCGCTCCTTCCCTGCAGTCGATCCCTTACCGTGGGCCTGTGCTTGGGGTGCCAGGGCAGCATCAGACTGGGGTGGTGGTGCAAGGGAGCATGGCAGGAGCAGCAGCACAGACAATGGCACAGTCAGCAGGAGTGGGGATGGTAGGAGCGGGTGGTTTGCCCGTTTCCCTTCCCAATGTCTACCTTTCACAGCTTGGGCCTGTACCTGTAGGAATGGCAGGAGGTATGGCAGGAGGAGTGGCAGCCTCACAGCGGTATGGAAATAGGTTTGGCGGAGGCTCGGACCAAGGCATGGGCTACTACCAAGGCAGGCCTGCTGGCCCGGGTGGGAACAAGAGGCGGCCTCGCCAGCCGCCGAGGCTCACCCGAGCCTCTGCTGGAGGTTCGGGAGGAGATGGTTTGGGTGGTAACCAGCAGGGTAGTGTGATATCTGGCAACCAGGCAAGTCTTAATTCGCCGGGGGGTTTGATCTCACATCAGCATGGCTACTCTGGATAGCAATGGTTGCTGCATGGGGGTATGAAGGGTTGTGGCGCAGAGCAGCAGGAGAGAAAGGGCGCAGAGCAGGTGGGTGTGTGTGTTGGGAGAGGCATGGATGCATTTGATTTGTGGGTAACGAGAGGCAGGCAGTAGCACGAGAAAGCTGCGAAACCCCAGCACGTGTTGTTTTGTTTTCTGGGCAGCTCAGCTTAAGGTTGGACCTGGTTAATGGGTTGACTTGTTTGGCTGCAGAATTGCTTTGATTTGATTCTTGATTGCTTAATCTCTGGTTGGGTGTTAGGCTAGGTTGCTTTTGTATGAGATTATTTTTAATTGTACATCATCAGATGCCAGGTTGGAACATGTGGTGGTGAATTGTGCAGAACAGAAGTCATGATTATTGTGAGCTGTAGCACATGCAATGCAATGTCATACCGGATCTTTCCTGTTTCTAATTAGCGTTGCCATTAGGAATCGTATTGTTGCGTTGGGTTGGATTTGGCAGCATTACAAGAAGAATACAGAGCAGCGTGTTCTGTAGGGTGCACTACCTGCTAACCTTATACATCCACATCAGCATGGTGGGGTAGTATTGAGTGTTTCTCATTTTCCCCATTTACTTCCTGCCTCCATTTTGTTGCTCGTAAGGTACTTAGTTTCTGCAGGTTTACTTTTCCGTGCACTGTAGTATGCGAGTTATGGTCGGGTTTGGGTTTTACTCTGCTTCGCCTGATCGGCAATCCCAAGGCACAGGTTGTGGTGATCACGTCACCTCTCCCTGATATCACGATTTTCTGACATTCTGGTCCTTCTTTTCCTGACACCTGCGAGGGCGGCACCGCGAACAAGTCCTCTTTCTTACTCCTCTAGCGACTAGCATTGCTTCCTTCTTCGGCGGTAGTTGCAATGGCTCCGCCAGCCACCGCGAAAGCTTCCAGTGAGGTGGGTGATCAACGTTACCGCTCCGACGGTCCAGATCGATATCAACTTGAATATCCTGTCAGGCTAGAGTCAACCTGCCATGCGCACGAATCTGGCACGCGTAGTTGCATTGGCTCCTCTCCACCATGCCTGATCCGGCGTGCGCATGTAATGCTTGTTTCCGAATCGCATGTCGGCATGTTAAGATGGAATAGGCTCTTCGCAATGGCAAGTCAAGTTCGGGAGTCCTATGCAGAGTCGGGGTAGTAGTATTCTATTCTTTAGAACAGCATTCGGATTCTTTGTAGTTGCAAGAACTAGCATGGATTTCGAGTTTAAAGAGTTTCGACTCGTCTCTAAAGTAACTTCTTTCTAGGGACGACATCTCAGTCTCGTACGTGCGAAAATCCAGCAGGGTTTTTTTAATCCACTTTCTTGCAGTTCGTCAATTCTAGCTTGCAGAAGGGATGAGAGAATCTAAGAATGCAAGACTTCGATATTCACAGGGACGGCAAAGTCGTTTCGTAAGACAAGCAGCCAACGCCTTTCACACGATCACTCCATTACCCGATTGCTCTTAGATACGCTCACCAGATTCGGTGAAGCAGCCAGCGTCGATCACCTGATCACTTGCTCAGCCTTAGATAAGCTTACAACATTCTTTCCTTGTTGATGCGTCTTGGCATCTCCCATTCTGATCCTATGAGGCCTTTCCCGTTTGATACTTCAACCCCGTACTTTATAAGGCCCATCATCAGGCAGCACGAATTCGCCGTAAACGCGTCTCCCGACCATCCCCCACTTCCTCTTCTGCATCTCGTCTCCCCTCTCGCCCTTCACAGGCTCAGCCACAGGAGGGCGCGAAGAGCCACGTGCGGCGGGACCTGCTGCTGCAGATTCAGGCGGCCGTGCAGAAGCAGTGGGAGGAGGAGAAGGTATTCGAGGCCACGGCCAAGGAGGGAGCAGTTGCTGGGTCCGGCCCTCGTGATGACCGCTTCTTTGGCAACTTCCCCTACCCCTACATGAACGGGCTGCTGCATTTGGGTCACGCGTTCACTCTTTCTAAGGTGAGACTGAGTCACTGAGGCCTGTGCTACACAGCCTCCTGGGGTGGGACCGCGTCACTGAGGCCAAGGAGGGCGCAGCTGCTGGGTCCGGCCCTCGCGATGACCGCTTCTTTGGCAACTTCCCTTCCCCTATCCCTCCACCATGAACGGGCTGCTGCACCTGGGCCACGCTTTCACTCTCTCCAAGGTGAGAGCGAGTCACTGAGGCCTGTGTTACACAGCCTCCTGGGTTCTGGCCCTCGCGATGACCGCTTCTTTGGCAACTACTTCTACCCCTACATGAACGGTCTGCTGCATTTGGGCCATGCCTTCACTCCCTCCAAGGTGAGAAAAACTGCTCTTCACAATGCATGCCTCGTCTGTGGTCGATTTACAAGCGCCTTTCCCTCTTATTCCTACGGGCCTGCTGCATTTGGGCCATGCGTTCATTCTCTCCCTGGTGAGAACTTTTTGACATGCTGTGCTGTGCCGTTCCATGCTGTGCACCGCATTTGAACTACGCGTTTTCCAAAAGCAGCAGCAGCAGCAGCAGCAGCAGCAGCAGCAGCAGCAGCAGCAGCAGCAGCAGCTTACAATCGCCCTACTCACACACTCTAACCCCCTTCTCCCCATCCTGCACCCGTTGCACCTTTTTCTCTGTCCTTTCGCACCTAGTGCAGGTGGAGTTCGCAGCATCGTACCACCGGCTGAGGGGAGCTAATGTGTTGTTCCCCTTCGGCTTCCACTGCACTGGCATGCCCATCAAGGTGCGTGCGTGCTGCATGATAGATAAGTCTTTTTGTTCTGTAAACAAATCAATGCATGTATCGTGCTCCTCCCCTCCCCTTCGGGTTCCAGTGCATAGGAATCTCCTGTTAACCGCCCTCCCTTCCCTCTGCCCCCACACCAGGTGCGTGTGGACACATACGGGGTACCCGCCCCAGTTCCCCAGTAAGGGGGGTGTTTTGTTTCCATCCCCATACTACCTTTTCGTCCTTTTCCTCCCCACCACTTCCTTCCAGGCGTGTGCTGACAAGCTAGCGCGTGAGATAGACACGTATGGTTACCCGCCCCTGTTCCCCAGCGAGGAGGAAACGGCGGCTCTGGAGGCACCTCATTCTTATAACCCCCCCACCCCATCTCCCTCCCGTTCATCCCCTTCCCCCCTCACCAGGCGTGTGCGGACAAGCTAGCCCGCGAGATGGACACGTACGGCTACCCGCCGCAGTTCCCCTGCGAGGAGGAAACGGCGACTCTGGAGGCCCTCTCCATTGCGGAGGGCAGCGCGTCTGACCCCATCCCTTTCGCCCCTCCCCTGCCCCCCTCACCAGGCGTGCGCAGACAAGCTAGCGCGTGAGATGGACACATACGGGTATCCACCCCAGTTCCCCAGCGAGGAGGAAGCGGCGGCTCTGGAGGCACTCTCCATTGCGGAGGGCAGTGCTGCTGCAGAGGGGGGGGATGGGGCGGCCACGGACGGGGCTAAGGGGGAGGAGCAGAAGGCCCCTGGGCAGTTCAAGGGGAAGAAGGTGAGGATTTCTTCCCGGCGTGGATAGGTGGGGATGATGATTTTGGAATTTCAGCTGAGGGGTTAAATGAGGGGATGGCGGTGGTGATGGTGTCATAGTGTGGGTCTGGGACTGGAGCTCACAACTTTTTCTTCAGCTCTCGCGTTTGTCAGCATCCCATCCCATCAGCATCCCTGCCCCTAGTTTTTCACCCCTTTCTCCCTCCCTCTCATCTCTCCCTCGCCCCTTCCTGCCCCCTCCACCTAATTTCCTGACAGTCCAAGGCGGCTGCCAAGACAGGGACGGCCAAGTACCAGGTAAGGGAGGTGGCAGTAGGGGTGGCGGAGCTGGTTGGGGGATGTGGCACAGTTGGTAGGGGTATGTGGCATCATGTGACATGACGTGACGTCATGTTGGTCATACATACCCATGGTCCATGGACCATCCAGGCATGTCTGCACATATGCATCTCAACCTCTCAATGCGCATGCCCTGTTATCTTCTCTCACCGTTTCTGATCCCGCTTCAACCTTTCTCACCCCATTTCACCCTTTTACAACTATTCCCACCCCTCTACAACTATTCTCACCCCCCATTGCACCTCTTTTTCCTCACATGTACTCATCCTTTCTCACACCTTCTCACCCGTTCTTACCCCTTTCCACCCCTTCACACTCCTTTCCGCCCTATCTCACCTCTTTGCACTCCTTCCCACCGCCAGTGGGAGATCATGCGGTCTATGGGCATGTCAGACGAGGAGATCAAGCCCTTCAAAGACCCTGCACACTGGCTCACCTACTTTCCCCCTATCGCTGTGGTATGTAGTATGTATGTGCTGCTGCTGCTGATGCCGATTCCGCCGCCGCCGCCGCCGCCGCTGCTACTGCTCTCTGGTATGCTTTGCTCTGAATCGTCTCGGAATCAGACCTTGCTGCTCACTCGCTCACCAGCTTTCCCCCATTTCCATTCTGAGGCCCCTCAGAATTCCTTGAACTTTGTTTCGCCCCCTTACCCTCTATCCTTCCATATTCCCCCATTGCTCATGCTCTCAGGACGATCTCAAAGCCTTTGGGCTGGGTGTGGACTGGCGGCGCTCCTTCATCACCACGGACATGAACCCCTACTATGACTCCTTTGCTCGCTGGCACCTGCAGTCGCTCTATAACAAGGGCAAGGTGCGTCTGTGTGGCATGGGCATGGGTGCACATAGGTGGGTGCATTTCTCCCTCGTCACATCACCACGGACATGAACCCCTACTAGTACTACGATTCGTTTGCGCGCTGGCACCTGCAGTCGCTCTATAACAAGGGCAAGGTATGTCCCATCCCATGGCATCTAGATGTGTGCACGTCAGACCGTGGGTGCACATGGGTGCATCCGCTCCTTCATCACCACGGACATGAACCCCTACTATGACTCCTTTGCACGCTGGCACCTGCAGACGCTCTACAACAAGGGCAAGGTAGTTGGCACGTTGATGGGTGCATGTTGATTGGTGCACATAGGTAGGTGGGACCGTTCCTTCCATCACCGCGCACTTGAACCCGTACTACGACTCGTTTGCTCGCTGGCACCTGCCGTCTCTTTAGAGCAAGGGCAAGGTAGGTGGCATGGGCAAGGTGGGTGCAGGCTGATGGGTGCACATAGGTGGGTGTCCCCCTCCTTCATCACCACAGACATGAACTCCTACTATGACTCGTTTGCTCGCTGGCACCTGCAGTCGCTCTATAACAAGGGCAAGGTATGTCCCATCCCATGGCATCTAGATGGGTGCACATCAGACCGTGGGTGCACATGGGTGCATCCGCTCCTTCATCACCACGGACATGAACCCCTACTATGACTCCTTTGCACGCTGGCACCTGCAGACGCTCTACAACAAGGGCAAGGTAGTTGGCACGTTGATGGGTGCATGTTGATTGGTGCACATAGGTAGGTGGGACCGTTCCTTCCATCACCGCGCACTTGAACCCGTACTACGACTCGTTTGCTCGCTGGCACCTGCCGTCTCTTTAGAGCAAGGGCAAGGTAGGTGGCATGGGCAAGGTGGGTGCAGGCTGATGGGTGCACATAGGTGGGTGTCCCCCTCCTTCATCACCACAGACATGAACTCCTACTATGACTCGTTTGCTCGCTGGCACCTGCAGTCGCTCTATAACAAGGGCAAGGTATGTCCCATCCCATGGCATCTAGATGGGTGCACATCAGACCGTGGGTGCACATGGGTGCATCCGCTCCTTCATCACCACGGACATGAACCCCTACTATGACTCCTTTGCACGCTGGCACCTGCAGACGCTCTACAACAAGGGCAAGGTAGTTGGCACGTTGATGGGTGCATGTTGATTGGTGCACATAGGTAGGTGGGACCGTTCCTTCCATCACCGCGCACTTGAACCCGTACTACGACTCGTTTGCTCGCTGGCACCTGCCGTCTCTTTAGAGCAAGGGCAAGGTAGGTGGCATGGGCAAGGTGGGTGCAGGCTGATGGGTGCACATAGGTGGGTGTCCCCCTCCTTCATCACCACAGACATGAACTCCTACTATGACTCGTTTGCTCGCTGGCACCTGCAGTCGCTCTATAACAAGGGCAAGGTATGTCCCATCCCATGGCATCTAGATGGGTGCACATCAGACCGTGGGTGCACATGGGTGCATCCGCTCCTTCATCACCACGGACATGAACCCCTACTATGACTCCTTTGCACGCTGGCACCTGCAGACGCTCTACAACAAGGGCAAGGTGTGTCCCGTGGGTGGCATGTGGATGGGTGCACGCTGATGGGTGTATGTAGATGGGTGCATATCTCCTTCATCACCACGGACATGAATCCGTACTATGACTCGTTTTGCACGCTGGCACCTGCTGACCCTTTACCACAAGGGCAAGGTGACCCCAAATCCCTTGTTCCCTCCTCCCCACCTCCCCCCCCGCCTTGACAGGTGGTGAAGGACCGGCGGTACACCATCTTCTCGCCTCTGGACGGTCAGCCCTGTGCGGACCGTGATAGTAAATACCTCTTTCTCACTCATTCCTCCCTCCCCCCACTCTTTCCGTTGGAATCGCCACTGGTTTCCCCTTGCTCTTCTTGTGGCTACCAGGTGGTGAAGGACCGGCGGTACACCATCTTCTTGCTGCTGGATGGGCAGCCCTGTGCCAACCATGACAGGCAATGCCCCCTTCCCACGTACCCACCACTCTCCCTCCTTCTTCCCCCTCAACCTGCACTGTTTCCCTCTTTCTCTCTCACTCCCCCCACCAGGTGGTGAAGGACCGGCGGTACACCATCTTCTCGCCGCTGGACAGGCAGCCCTGTGCCGACCATGACAGGCCAGTCCCTTTCATCCCCCTCTTGTCCCCACCATTTCTGCGGGTTTCCCCGTTTCCCCCTTGCTCTCCCCCTTCTGGTCACCAGGTGGTGAAGGACCGCCGCTACACCATCTTCTCGCCGCTGGACGGGCAGCCCTGTGCCGACCATGACAGGGCGTCAGGGGAGGGCGTGCTGCCTCAGGAGTACACACTCATCAAGATGCAAGTTGTGCCGCCGCTCACAGGTACGTGGCACAGCTCTCATGTGCCACCCTTAACAGAAATGCGATCTCGGGCACCATCACAGGGCGTCAAGGGAGGGGCGTCAGGGGAGGGCGTGCTGCCTCAGGAGTACACTCTCATTAAGATGCAAGTCGTGCCGCCGCTCACAGGTGCGTGAGTGAACCCTTTTAGTAGCCTGTGAGCCTGTGAGGGCTGTGAGGAGGGCTGTGAGGGCAGGGCGTGCTGCCTCAGGAGTACACTCTCATTAAGATGCAAGTCGTGCCGCCGCTCACAGGTGCGTGAGTGAACCCTTTTAGTAGCCTGTGAGGGCTGTGAGGAGGGCTGTGAGGGGAGGGCGTGCTGCCTCAGGAGTACACTCTCATTAAGATGCAAGTGCTGCCGCCCCTCACAGGTGCCTTTCTTTACCTACCCTTTCTAGCACATCACACGTCATAGTCATACGTGCTTGTGCTTTTTCATAAAGCAATCACGGCCTGCCTCACCTGGCCTTTCTATCCTACCTATCCTTGTGGCCGAGTTTTGAGAATTTTGGAGAATTGCCTTCCCATGCTTTTGATTGTCCCTGCCTCCCATCCACCCCCCATTATCCTTATGCACCCAGAAATTCTAAATTTCCTGTTTTTTTCCCCATGTGCTTTGCAACCAATGCCAGGCAAGCTCGAGGCTCTTGCGGGCAGAAATATTTTTCTCGCCGCTGCCACGCTGCGCCCGGAGACCATGTATGGGCAGACAAACGCTTGGGTGCTGCCAGATGGGCAGTATGGCGCGTTTGAAGTGAACGAAGCGGGAGACGTGTTTGTGGTAACCAAGCGATCGGCTCTGAACCTCTCCTACCAGTTCCACTCCAAGGTGAAGCGCACTATGCTTAAAGCAGCCCCAGTGTTCGAAGCAACCCCTCTGTAAATAGGTGGTCTTCTATCGCTGCCCTGCCTCTCGTGGCCTTTTCTCGCTCGATTATCTCTCGTGTTTGTGGTAACCAGGCGATCCGCTCTGTACCCTTAAAGCCCTACCAGTTCCGCTCCTCGAGCAATGAATCATTATGCTCCGAGCAACCCTTGTCTTGGTAGTGGCTATTTTGTCGCTCCCCTATTATTCGTGCCTGCCGTCCCTCAGTCGTATGCTGCTCTCCTCTGTACCGTAATCGCCCCTTCTCCCGCTACAGGAGTTTGGCAAGCCGAACTGCCTGCTGGAGCTGACGGGGCACGACCTGATTGGCCTGCCTCTCAAGGCGCCTCTGACGCCCAACCCGGTCATCTACGCCCTGCCCATGCTCACCATTCTCACGGACAAAGGTGCGATGCTCTGTCAGTCTTAGAAGCAGATGTGCTGAGTCAAAGGTGCACGTACCATGTTCACCTGCCTCTCAAGGCGCCTCTGACGCCCAACCCGGTCATCTACGCCCTGCCCATGCTCACCATTCTCACGGACAAAGGTGCGATGCTCTGTCAGTCTTAGAAGCAGATGTGCTGAGTCAAAGGTGCACGTACCATGTTCACCTGCCTCTCAAGGCGCCTCTGACGCCCAACCCGGTCATCTACGCCCTGCCCATGCTCACCATTCTCACGGACAAAGGTGCGATGCTCTGTCAGTCTTAGAAGCAGATGTGCTGAGTCAAAGGTGCACGTACCATGTTCACCTGCCTCTCAAGGCGCCTCTGACGCCCAACCCGGTCATCTACGCCCTGCCCATGCTCACCATTCTCACGGACAAAGGTGCGATGCTCTGTCAGTCTTAGAAGCAGATGTGCTGAGTCAAAGGTGCACGTACCATGTTCACCTGCCTCTCAAGGCGCCTCTGACGCCCAACCCGGTCATCTACGCCCTGCCCATGCTCACCATTCTCACTGACAAAGGTGCTTGCTTCGGTAATCTGAGATTGAGCTTCAAACAACTACATGCCATCTCTGGTTCGCACCCCTCTCTCGCTCACTCTTCTGCCTCTGTGCTCTCCTTCCCCCTCCCCCCGTATTCTTTCTCTGACTCTCTCTCACATGGCACATCCATGTGCATGCATGCAGGCACGGGAGTGGTGACGAGTGTGCCTAACGATGCACCGGACGAACGACTACATGGCTCTTCTCTTGCCCTCTCTGGTTCTCCCCCCTCTCACTCACTCTTCTGCGTCTGTGTACCCTCTCCCCCACCCTGCAGGCACGGGAGTGGTGACGAGTGTGCCCAGCGATGCACCGGACGACTACATGGCACTGCAGGACCTCAAGAGCAAGCCTGGTGAGCCGTGGGGTACATGTCACGATGCATCCATACAGACATGCATGCATACACATGTGCATAAGGTACAGTATGCACCGGAAGACTACATGGCACTGCAGGACCTCAAGAGCAAGCCTGGTGAGCCGTGGGGTACATGTCACGATGCATCCATACAGACATGCATGCATACACATGTGCATAAGGTACAGTATGCACCGGACGACTACATGGCACTGCAGGACCTCAAGAGCAAGCCTGGTGAGGCATGGGATGGGGTACATGCATACCTGCATACATACATCCATGCATGCATACATAGAGACATGCATACACACATGTATACGTAGAGACATGCATGCACACATGTATACGTAGAGACATGCATACACACATGTATACGTAGAGACATGCATACACGCATGTATACGTTGAACGTGAAGGACGAGTGGGTGCTGCATTTGAGATCATCTGCTGTTGCACTTTCTCAGTTCCCTTTTCCGCTCCTCCACTCCTTTGCACCGTTCTCGCTCCTGGCGTACTGTTCTTAACCCCAAAACCACCCCGCCCCATCCCACCCCACCCCACTGCAGCCCTGCGAACCAAGTTCAACGTGAAGGACGAGTGGGTGCTGCCATTCGAGGTCATATGCTCTTGCACGTGCTCCGTCCCTGCCCTTTCTCCACTCCTCCACCCCTTTGTACCGTTGCTGCTCCTGGCTTACTGTTCCCAACCCCAACCCAACCCACCCCACCCCACCTCACCCCACCCCACCCCGCCCCAGCCCTGCGAGCCAAGTTCAATGTGAAGGACGAGTGGGTGCTGCCCTTTGAGGTCATCCCCATTATAAACATCCCCGAGTTTGGTGATGCAGCAGCAGTCAAAGTGTGCCAGGATCTCAAGATCCAGAGCCAGAACGACAAGGAGAAGCTGGCCGAGGCTAAGAGACTCACTTACCTCAAGGTGGGGGAATGGTGAAGAAAATCAGTTATCTCAAAGTGAGCGAAGAATCTCATTTCTCACTTTGAGATATTCCATTTACAGCAAATGTTTTAGCCACAAATATGTACGAACTGTTCCTTCAATTTCCTTTTTCTCCATCAATGTTCAGCCCAGACACAACCGCTCCTTTGTCATAAGCTCTTAGAGTTTGCCACTGTCTTTTCCTCCTAAACCTTAAACCTTAAACCCTAAACATAATTTCTTCTTTGCCGCTGTCTTTTCCTCCTCTCATGTGTGCAGGGTTTCACGGATGGAGTGATGCTGGTGGGCGAGTTGAAGGGAAGCAAAGTGCAGGACGCCAAGCCGCAGATAAAAAAGGTATGTGCACCCTGTGGTGATGTCAGCTGATTTCTTTTGTTGAGGCGCCTTAAAAGAAACAGGACGGCAAGCCACAGAATGGGGTTGTCTCAGAACGAACAAGTCTGTGTTAAGGTCTGGATTGAGTGTGTTGCGCATACGCACATGGGAGTGGTACCTGACTATTCCACTCCGCACCCTTCCCCTGCTCTTGTTCCCTCTCCACTTCCCTCCTCCCGCGAACTGTTGATTAAGCGCGGTGAGAGAAGTGCCATACAGCAAGCGAGTGAAGCGGGTTGTTTGACGGTCATGGGACGAGTGTGTGGTGGCGCTGACTGACCAGTGGTACCTCACATGCGGCTTTCCTCTCCCTTCCTTCTCCCTCCCTCCAGCTGTTGATCGAAAGAGGAGAGGCAGTGCCATACAGTGAACCGGAGAAGCGTGTCACATCGCGGTCAGGCGACGAGTGTGTGGTGGCGCTGACAGACCAGTGGTACCTCACGTACGGCGAGGAGCAGTGGCGCGCGCTGGCAGAGGAGTGGTGGTACCTCACTTCCTGCTCTTTCCCTTTCCCATCCTCCTCTCCTCCCCGCTCAGTTGCTGGTGGAGCGGGGTGAAGCAGTACCATACAGTGAGCCGGAGAAAAGAGTAACCTCCCGGTCAGGGGACGAGTGTGTGGTGGCGCTGACGGATCAGTGGTACCTCACGTACGGGGAGGAGCAGTGGCGCGCACAGGCAGAGGAGTGTCTGGCGGGCATGCAGCTTTACAACGAGGAGACACGGCACGGGTTCCAGCACACTCTGGGATGGCTGGATAGGGTGAGTGAGCCTGTGGGGGGATAGGCGTGGGTGGAGTAAAAGGGAATGAAGGGGGCGTGCAGTGCAGGGAAAGGGCACTGGCAGAGGAGTGCCTTGCGAGCATGCAGCTCTACAGCGAGGAGACCCGGCACGGGTTTCAGCACACTCTGGGGTGGCTGGATAGGGTGAGATATTGGGGAAGGAATGGGGATGGGCGGAATGAGAGGGAAGGGAGGGGGCACGGGAGAAAGGGCGCTGGCAGAGGAGTGTCTTGCGGGCGTGCAGCTTTACAACGAGGAGACCCGGCACGGGTTTCAGGACACGCTGGGATGGCTCGACAGGGTGAGATAGTGAGGGTGATAGTGTGAGAGATGGGGGCGGAGGAGAATAGGGGTGGACGGATAGGAAGAAATTGGAGGGGGTGTCTCACTATTTATCCTTCCATGGTCTCCGTGGGTGTTTCGGTGGTCTAATCCTCGATCTTCCTTCATCTGCCTCCTTTTTCGTCCCTTCCCTCCCATCTCCCAGTGGGCGTGTTCTCGCTCCTTCGGCCTGGGCACGCGCATCCCATGGGACCCACAGTTCCTCATTGAGTCCCTCTCTGACAGCACCATCTACATGGCCTACTACACGCTCTCGCACATCCTCCAGGTGAGTGAGATGGGTTGAGTGCGGTGCTAATGGTGCTTCAGGTGCACCTGCTGAGTCCTCCGCAGTTCCTCATCGAGTCGCTCTCCGACAGCACCATCTACATGGCCTACTACACGCTCTCGCATATTCTCCAGGTGAGATGGGTTTTTAAGTGCGGTGCTACAGGCATCCAGACAAGTTAGATGACTCTTGAGTCCCTGTCTGACAGCACCATCTACATGGCCCTCTACACGCTCTCCCATATTCTCCAGGTGAGTCACACGCAGTTGAGTGAGATGGGTTGAGTGCGGTGCTTCAGGCTTTCAAATGAGTGAGGTACCTTATGAGTTGCTCTCCTGAGCAGGAGGGCGACATATTTATTGGCACATGAGGCAGGAAGAGCATAAAGTCTGACCTCTCTACATTCCCATTCGCCCTCACATTCATTAGTCACCACCACTTACCCATAACCCTGTTGGAGGAGCACGTCACACAGCCCTGTCCTTCTTCTTCTCCTTGCTTCACTCCACCCAATCAGGAGGGTGACATCTTTGGCACGTCAGGCAAGCAGAGCATCAAGCCCGAGCACCTCTCCCACTTCAGAACATTCAATCCCACCACCGCTTTCACGCTTGCCCCTCCTCTCGCCAACCACCGCCCACTCCCCATCACCACCTACTTCCCCCCATGCAGGAGGGCGACATCTTTGGCACGTCAGGCAAGCAGAGCATCAAGCCCGAGCACCTCTCCCACGCCCTCTGGGACCATCTGCTGCAGGGCGCTCCCAAGCCCGCCGACTGCGCTGTCCCCGATGACGTGCTGCAGGTGAGCGGGATGAGGTAGAAGGATGTGCAGCAGGTGAGGGAGATTAGGCCCATAGGGTGGTGTGTGTCAAGCCCGAGCACCTCTCCCACGCCCTCTGGGACCATCTGTTGCAGGGCGCGCCCAAGCCTGCTGACTGCCCTGTTCATGACGACCTGCTGCAGGTGAGGGGAAGCAGGTGGGGTATTGCAGTCCAGCAGGGGAGCCATCTCTTCTGTGAGGTTAATTGTAGCACCGTGCTGCACCGTCCAGCAGGGGAGCCATCTGCTGCTCAGCGCGCCCAAGCCCGCCTGACCTCAAACCGGCACCTCAAACCTGCACCTCAAACCTGCACCTCAAACCTGCACCTCAAACCTGCACCTCAAACCGGCACCTCCAACCTGCACCTCAAACCTGACCTCAAACCTGCACCTCAAACCTGACCTCAAACCTGCACCTCAAACCTGACGTCAAACCTGCACCTCAAACCGGCACCTGCACCTCAAACCTGCACCTCAAACCTGCACCTCAAACCTGCACCTCAAACCTGCACCTCAAACCTGCACCTCAAACCTGCACCTCAAACCTGCACCTCAAACCGGCACCTCCAACCTGCACCTCAAACCTGACCTCAAACCTGCACCTCAAACCTGACCTCAAACCTGCACCTCAAACCTGACGTCAAACCTGCACCTCAAACCTGCACCTCAAACCTGCACCTCAAACCTGCACCTCAAACCTGCACCTCAAACCTGCACCTCAAATCTGCACCTCAAACCTGCACCTCAAGCCTGCACCTCAAACCTGCACCTCAAACCTGCACCTCAAACCGGCACCTCAAACCTGCACCTCAAACCTGACCTCAAACCGGCACCTCAAACCTGCACCTCAAACCTGCACCTCAAACCTGCACCTCAAACCTGCACCTCAAACCTGCACCTCAAACCTGCACCTCAAACCTGCACCTCAAACCTGCACCTCAAACCGGCACCTCCAACCTGCACCTCAAACCTGACCTCAAACCTGCACCTCAAACCTGACCTCAAACCTGCACCTCAAACCTGACGTCAAACCTGCACCTCAAACCTGCACCTCAAACCTGCACCTCAAACCTGCACCTCAAACCTGCACCTCAAACCTGCACCTCAAATCTGCACCTCAAACCTGCACCTCAAACCTGCACCTCAAACCGGCACCTCAAACCGGCACCTCAAACCTGCACCTCAAACTTGCACCTCAAACTTGCACCTCAAACCTGCACCTCAAACCTGCACCTCATACCTGCACCTCAAGCCTGCACCTCAAACCTGCACCTCAAACCTGCACCTCAAACCGGCACCTCAAACCTGCACCTCAAACCTGCACCTCAAACCTGCACCTCAAACCGGCACCTCAAACCTGCACCTCAAACCTGCACCTCAAACCTCCACCTCAAACCTGCACCTCAAACCTGCACCTCAAACCTGCACCTCAAACCTGCACCTCATACCTGCACCTCAAGCCTGCACCTCAAACCTGCACCTCAAACCTGCTCCTCAAACCTGCACCTCAAACCGGCACCTCAAACCTGCACCTCAAACCGGCACCTCAAACCTGCACCTCAAACCTGCACCTCAAACCTCCACCTCAAACCTGCACCTCAAACCTGCACCTCAAACCTGCACCTCAAACCGGCACCTCAAACCTGCACCTCAAACCTGCACCTCAAACCTCCACCTCAAACCTGCACCTCAAACCTGCACCTCAAACCTGCACCTCAAACCTGCACCTCATACCTGCACCTCAAGCCTGCACCTCAAACCTGCACCTCAAACCTGCTCCTCAAACCTGCACCTCAAACCTGCACCTCAAACCTGCACCTCAAACCGGCACCTCAAACCTGCACCTCAAACCTGCACCTCAAACCTGCACCTCAAACCCCCTTGACAGCGTGCGCGGGCGGAGTTTGAGTACTGGTACCGGGGATGGACCTCATAAAAAATCACCTCCTCGCCTGGCTCTTCCTTCCCTCTAAACCCCCACAACCCCACCAAAACCCCTGAACCCATGGCAGCGTGCGTGCGCCCCTTTCGAAGGATTGTTACCCGTTTGACGCATTTCACCTTTCTCTTCCCTTCCCTTCCTGAATTTCAAACCCCCTTGACAGCGTGCGCGGGCAGAGTTTGAGTACTGGTACCCGTTTGACCTGCGAGTGTCGGGGAAGGACCTGATCAACAACCACCTCACCTTCGCCATCTACAATCACACCGCCATGTTCCCCAAGGTTCGTTATAACCACCTCCACCATGGAATCGCACCACACCACACCACCCCAAACCTGCGAAGGACCTGATCATCAACCATCTCACCTTCGCCATCTACAATCACACCGCCATGTTCCCCAAGGTTTGTTTCGTTATAAGCACTGGCACCTCTATACAATCACACCGCAGTGTTCCCCAAGGTTCGTTATAAGTACGCAGTTTTATAAATTCACGCGTTTTGTCTCCAATACTGTTCATGTAAGCTGAGCTTGCGGCAATAGGTGGTACAATGCATTTGCCTTTGGATGGGATGGGACGGGTTGTGCACTTGTCCTGATTTGTATGCCTCTCATCATGGTCACACTTTCACACTTCTGTCACCACACCACACCCTACACCACCCTACACCACCTTACACCCTGACCCTACACCACACCACACCGCACCACACCACACCGCACCACACCACACCACACCACACAACAGGAGCAATGGCCGAGGGGATTCCGCACCAACGGCCATCTGCTGCTCAACTCGGAGAAGATGTCCAAGTCGACCGGCAACTTCAAGACGATTCGCCAGGCCATAGGTGAGATGCGTTTTCACGCACGCTCCTTTATGTGTGCTACTAGGTTGGATAGGGTGTGTCTCTCTGTGTTGACTGGGAGGCCATCTGCTGCTCAACTTTGGGAAGATGTCCAAATCGACCGGCAACTTCAAGACCATCCGCCAGGCGATAGGTGCGTTGACCAGGTCTTTCCCCGTGCGGTTGGCTGTGTGTAGGTTACTAGCGTGGGTAGGGTGTGTGCAGGTTACTAGCGTGGATAGGGTGTGTGTCCTGTTTGCCTCCTATGCCATCTGCTGCTCAACTCTGAGAAAATGTCCAAACCTACTGAAAACTTCAAGACCTTCCGCCAGGCTGTAGGTGAGATCATTAGCTCTTTCCCCGTGTGGTAGGCTGCAAATAGGTTACAAGGATAGGTAGCGTGTGTGTCTCTGTGTGCCTCAGAGGCCATCTGCTGCTCAACTCGGAGAAAATGTCCAAATCTACTGAAAACTTCAAGACCCTCCGCCAGGCCATCGGTGCGTTGCTTTCTCATGCGCTGTCCTTGCTTGGTAGATACCAGGCGCGCTCAAATCCACTGTTGTTGCAATGCTAGGGTGTGCTAACACAACATCAACTCAGAAGCCATCTGCTGCTCACCTCGGAGAAGATGTCCAAATCTTGTCCCAAGAGCCTGTTCACTTGTCGTTCTACTGTCCTCCCCTGCCTGCACCGCCTCGCCCTACCCCCTCCAGAGGAGTTCTTGTTGGAAGCCACTCGCTTCGCCCTCGCGGATGCGGGAGACACTCCGGTCTTAGTTGGTGAACCCCCTTGGTTTGTCCGTCGACTGCCCTCCCGTTGCCCCCGCCCTGCTCTCCAAACTCCCCCACACAGAGGAGTTCTCATCGGACGCAACTCGCTTCGCCCTGGCGGATGCGGGTGACACGGTGGATGATGCCAACTTCGTGGAGGAGACTGCCAATGCTGCCATCCTGAGGCTCACAAAGTAAGCTGCAGTGCACGCTGCTTGGGGTGCCCTGTGTGGCCTAGCCAGGCTGTGTGGTGTAGTCCGCCTTGCCCTGACAGATGCGGGTGACACGGTGGACGATGCTAACTTCGTGGAGGAGACTGCCAACGCCGCCATTCTGAGGCTCACCAAGTAAGACAGGGGCTGCTTGGGCTGTGAGATGGGGTCAGGCTGCCTTGCAGCACCATGTGGGTGGGGTTAGGGAGTGCAGATGCGGGTGGCACGGTGGATGATGCTTACTTCGTGGAGGAGACTGCCAATGCTGCCATTCTCAGGCTCACCAAGTAAGCTGTCCGTTCAAAGGGTTACCATGTGAGAGGCTGCTTGTGCTGCTGCGCTGTGTGGTCTAGCTGGCTGGTTTGCCGTGTCTTTGGTCGTTTGCAGACCGGGTGTTTGAGAACGAGATCAACCTTGCTGTGGCTCTTCTCTCACGCCTCCCTCCTTCCCCCACGCCTGTCAACTGTCAGGGAGATGACGTGGATGGAGGAAGTGCTGGCGTCAGCAGCCACAGAGGGCGGTCTGCGCACCGGGGACGAGCGGTCATTCGCAGACCGGGTGTTTGAGAACGAGATCAATCTCGCTGTGGCTCTCTCTAAAGCAGCTTTCGACAACATGCTGTTCTGCAAGGCCCTCAAAACGGGCTTCTTCGACCTGCAGGTGAGGCATTCGCCCCTTGGCATGGCAGGTTTTTTCATGCAGGTACGCTGCTCTGCTCTGCTGTCTTGTTTGAACTGCACCAGCAGCCGTCATTGGTGTGCTGAACATTCTACCTGTCCCTTTGTCTTCTCCCCTCTCTATCCTTGCAGCTAGCACGGGACGAGTACCGGCTGTCGTGCGGGGCGGCGGGCATGGACACAGACGGACCTGCTGCTGTCTTTGTTGGTGTGCTCACCATTCCATTTTTCCGTTGATCCATCCTCTCCCTCATCGCAGCTCGCACGAGACGAGTACCGGCTGTCGTGCGGAGCAGCGGGCATGCACAAGGACCTGCTGCTGCCTTCATTGCCATGCTGCACGGCCCATCTGTCCCCTTTATCCACCCGTCTCTTCCTTCAACTCCCTCCCAGCTCGCACGGGACGAGTACCGCCTATCGTGCGGAGCAGCGGGCATGCACACGGACCTGCTGCTGCCTTCATTTTCGTGCTGCTCGTCACATCAGTCCCCTGTCCGCCCCTTCCCCTCCCCCGTCTCAGCTCGCACGGGACGAGTACCGGCTGTCATGTGGAGCAGCGGGCATGCACAAGGACCTGCTTTTGCGCTTCTGCAAAGTGCAGACGCTGCTGCTCATGCCGGTGCGGTTCTGGGATCAATTGGAGTGATGGGTGTGCTGTGATGTGATGGGTGTGCTGTGATGTGATGGGTGTGCTGTGATGTGATGGGTGTGCTGTGATGTGATGGGACTGGGGCGAACGGGGTGATGGGGGTGATGTGATGGGGGTGATGGGGGTGATGGGTGTGATGGGGGTGATGGGGGTGATGGGGGTGATGGGGGTGATGGGGGTGATGGGGGTGATGGGGGTGATGGGTGTGCTGTGATGTAATGTGATGGGACTGGAGTGAACGGGGTGGGTCTCAAACTCACGTATAAGGACCTGCGCTTCTGCAAAGTGCAGACTCTGCTGCTCATGCCGGTGCGATGGGGGTGATGGGATGATCGGGGTGCTGGGGTGATGAAAGAAGATGCTAATGATACTCATGCTCATGCAAATACACATGCACGTGCACATGCTCATGCACATGCCGATGCACACAGGAAGCGTTGATGCTGACGTTAGCTAATCCGCCACCACCCTATCGAGTGCATGCATCCCCTCCACCCTTCGTTTTCGTTGGACGTAATTTATCCAGATCTGCCCGCATTACGGGGAGCACGTGTGGAGAAATATTCTGAAGCTGCCCGGGGCAGGCATCACAGCTGGATGGCCGGAAGCAGCGCCTGCCGACATGACCCTCAAGGCCGCCAACACGTACCTGCAGGTGTGGTTACTCGCATGTGTGCATGTGTGCATGCCCGTTGACTAGGCTTGCTTGCCACCGGAAGCAGCGCCGGCCGACATGACCCTCAAGGCAGCCAACACGTACCTGCAGGTGCGCTTGTGTGCCATGTGCATACATGCCTGCTGATGTGCCGTGCATGGCACTGGAAGCAGCACCGGCCGACATGACCCTCAAGGCAGCCAACACGTACCTGCAGGTGCGCTCGTGTGTTCTTCTATACATGCATGTGTGTGCTTGGCACCGGAAGCAGCGCCTGCCGACATGACCCTCAAGGCGGCCAACACGTACCTGCAGGTGTGGGGGTGTGCACCTGTGCGTGTTTTTCATGGTTCTGAGCATGCATGCATGTTGACTTGCCTTGCATCGCACTGGAAGCAGCGCCTGCTGACATGACCCTCAGGACGGCCAACACGTACCCACAGGCATATGGTCATGGCTATATGGGTGTGAGCGTGCATGCTTGCATGTTGGCTTGCCTTGCTTTACACTGGAAGCAGCACCTGCCCGCATGACCCTCACGGCGACCAACACGTACATTCTCAACCCTCCCCCCTTCCGCTCCTCTCCCCCGTTCTCAAGACTGCATAGTGGATTTCCGCAAGCTCATCACCAAGCAGCGGGCGTGTTTCTGTGCCGGTTTTTTAGAATTCTCAAAAACCAGCTCGTGACATGCTTGCTCAACAGACCTCCCCCAGTTCTGCCCTCCCCCCCTTCTCCCCCCGTTCTCAGGACTGCATAGTGGATTTCCGCAAGCTCATCACCAAGCAGCACTTTTGATGCTCAGTGCTTTCCTTCCCCTCCCCGCCCCGCCCCGCCCCTCCCCTCCCCTCCCCTCCCCTCCCCTCCCCTCCCCTCCCCTCCCCTCCCCTCCCCTCCCCTCCCCTCCCCTCCCCTCCCCTCCCCTCCCCTCCCCTCCCCCTCCCCCCCCTCCCCTTCTCAGGACTGCATAGTGGATTTCCGCAAGCTCATCACAAAGCAGGCGTCAGCAGGGGGAGGCGGGAAGGCCAAGGGGGGGAAAGCAGCGGCAGTGGCGAAGGAGGCGCCAAAGATAGCGGTGGGGGTGGTGTTTGTGGCCGCGCAATACGGCGGGTGGCAGGCGGAGTGCCTTGGGCTGCTGCAGAAGCACTGCCATGCTCAGTGTCTCTCTTCCCCCCCCCCCTCCCCTCCCCCTCCCCTCCCCTCCCCTCCCCTCCCCTCCCCTCCCCTCCCCTCCCCTCCCCTCCCCTCCCCTCCCCTCCCCTCCCCTCCCCTCCCCTCCCCCCCCTCCTCCCCCCTTCTCCCCCTTCTTTCAGGATTGCATAGTGGATTTCCGCAAGCTCATCACCAAGCAGGCGTCAGCAGGGGGAGGAGGGAAGGCCAAGGGGGGGAAAGCAGCGGCAGTGGCGAAGGAGGCACCGAAGATAGCGGTGGGGGTGGTGTTTGTGGCCGAGCAGTACGGCGGGTGGCAGGCGGAGTGCCTTGGGCTGCTGCAGAAGCATTTTGATGCAGAAAAGAAGGTTTTCAATGATGATGCTGGGCTGCTGGATGCACTTAAAGCCAGCCCTGTTGGGCAGGTAAGACAAGGGGAAAGGGTAGGGCAGGGGGTGTGTCCGGAGCTGCTGCAGCGCTATTTCTATGCAGAAAAGCGGGTGTTTAATTATGATGCTGGTCTGCTGGACGCTCTTAAAGCCAGCCCTGTGGGGCAGGTAAGGCGAGAGGGGAGAGAAGAGGGAGAACCGAGTGAAGTGAAGGAAGGAAGGGGACGGGAATAGAGTGCGGAATTTGGGGCTAATTCTGCAGACTCCCTTTCCTCCTCTTGCTATTGCTGTCATAATTTCCTGCCACCACCACTTCATAACCCTAGACGTTCCTGTCTCTCCTCCTCTCACACTTCTTCTGCTTTTCCTATCGCTACCACTTTTCAGCGCCCGGATTTTAAGAAGCTGATGGGGCAGTGCATGGGGTTCATCCGGTTCAAGAAGGATGCTGCTCTGCTGCACGGCGCCCAGGTCAGTCGCCAACCGCTCAGATTGATCTGCTGTCTGCCACCCTGATGTGTCCTCTGCCGTGCATCCCTAAAGGCTATGACCTGCTGCCCTTGTTGCTCTTAACTTCAAGTTTGGTCCTCCGCATATCACCTCATCCACCGCATAATACCTCATTCCACCGCACATCACCTCGTTCCACCACACATCACCTCGTTCCACCAAATGTTACCTTGTTCCACCGCTCACCCCATCAGGCTCTGGACGTGAAGCTGCAGTTTGACGAGGCCAACGTGCTGCGGGAGAATGCTGACCTCATCAAGGTGAGACGCTGCCCCCATGCTGATGTCATGAGTATGGTGACGTGGCACCAGCGTCCTGATTGGAGCATGCCGTTCTGCTGATCAGCACTTACCAGAGTATGCGCATCATTGTACGTCTGAGTGAGTCTCCGTATCGGACTGGTGTCATGTGAGCGATTTTCGGTGTTCCGCACAGCACAGCACAGCACAGTTTCTGCATGTGCCCAACCCAAGTGCAACTGTTCCTCACTGCATTCTCGTGGCTTGTGATCAACAGCGCCAGCTGCAGCTGGATCAGTTCTCGGTGTTTCTCACATCAGATGCTGATGCTATTGCTGCCGTCAACTCCAAGGACGCTGCCCGCATCTCTGCTGCTGTGCCAGGTGTGTTGCACTTGAGATTGACTCAGGAGGAGGTGGGGTGGGGGGTTGGGGGGGGGGGGGGGGGGGGAAGGGGAGGGGAGGGTGTTTCTCACATCAGATGCTGATGCTATTGCTGCTGCCAACTCCAAGGACGCTGCCCGCATCTCTGCTGCTGTGCCAGGTGTGTTGCACTTGAGATTGATTCAGGAGGAGGGGGGGTGGGGGGTGGGGGGGAGGGAGGGAGGGGGGGGGAGGGGAGGGTGTTCCTCACATCAGATGCTGATGCCGTTGCTGCCGTCAACTCCAAGGACGCCGCCCGCATCTCCACCGCTGTCCCAGGTGTGTTCCACTTGGTATTATCCAGGGAGGGAGAGGGAAGGGGGGGGGGAGAGGGGGAGGGGAGGGGAGGGTTCCTCACATCAGATGCCGATGCCGTTGCTGCCGTCAACTCCAAGGACGCCGCCCGCATCTCTGCTGCTGTGCCAGGTGTGTTCAACTTGGGTGTAGGGGGGGGAAGGGGTGGGGGAGGAGCGGGGGTGTTCCTCTCATTGGATTCTGGTGTCGTTCCGTGTGTCAGTCCCACAGGTGTGTGTTGCACAGGTGTGTGTTGCGCAGGTGTGTGTTGCGCAGGTGTGTGTTGCACAGGTGTGTGTTGCACAGGTGTGTGTTGCACAGGTGTGTGTTGCACAGGTGTGTGTTGCACAGGTGTGTGTTGCACAGGTGTGTGTTGCGCAGGTGTGTGTTGCACAGGTGTGTGTTGCACAGGTGTGTGTTGCGCAGGTGTGTGTTGCACAGGTGTGTGTTGCGCAGGTGTGTGTTGCGCAGGTGTGTGTTGCACAGGTGTGTGTTGCGCAGGTGTGTGTTGCGCAGGTGTGTGTTGCGCAGGTGTGTGTTGCACAGGTGTGTGTTGCGCAGGTGTGTGTTGCGCAGGTGTGTGTTGCACAGGTGTGTGTTGCGCAGGTGTGTGTTGCACAGGTGTGTGTTGCACAGGTGTGTGTTGCGCAGGTGTGTGTTGCACAGGTGTGTGTTGCGCAGGTGTGTGTTGCGCAGGTGTGTGTTGCACAGGTGTGTGTTGCGCAGGTGTGTGTTGCGCAGGTGTGTGTTGCACAGGTGTGTGTTGCGCAGGTGTGTGTTGCACAGGTGTGTGTTGCGCAGGTGTGTGTTGCACAGGTGTGTGTTGCGCAGGTGTGTGTTGCACAGGTGTGTGTTGCACAGGTGTGTGTTGCACAGGTGTGTGTTGCACAGGTGTGTGTTGCACAGGTGTGTGTTGCACAGGTGTGTGTTGCGCAGGTGTGTGTTGCACAGGTGCCTTGTGAGGCTCTCATGTGTGAAGGGAATGTCTATGTGTGGGCGTGTCTATGTGGTGCTTTTGAACTGCAAGTTGGAAGTTGGAGTTGAGGAGTTAAAGCCCAAGACCTGAATTGCTCAACGCAAGTCAACGCGGGGCAAAACTGTGGGCTGCGGGAGGCAAACTGTGCACAGTTTGCCTTCGTTTTTTGTAATTCGGGTCTTGGGCTTTAAGATTCATGTATCGTATTTCCGGATGTTCCGCTGCAATATGTTTGTCTGTGGTGTTCAGGCTCCCCTGTTGCAATCTTCTCAGCTGCAGCTTAAGCATCACCCTGGGAATTTTTGGCAGTTCATGTCCGTTGCAAGTCTTGAAACATCTGTTGCAATAATACGCGACTCTGTACTCCTAGAGGGTGGTCTCACTCCGTTGGACCATACATATTGTTAGTACCTTTCCACTCAAGCCCAAATCGCATGCAAAAGACATAAGGCCCGTTTTAGGGAGGCGAAATCCAGCAAGTTATTTGGCTTCTTGTTGGATTTGGCCCATTTTATTCTCGCAATTAAAGCCCGCAGCCCAAGTTGCACAAGATTAGTAATCTTGATTGGAGGGCACTTGGGCTGGCAAGAGGTTTCTAGCACTGGTGTCTTCGTTTGCGCTTGTGTTTGTGCGGAAGTCCCAAGTTGCAGCACGAGGTTCTTCAAGTTGAGTATCGGGACTAGGCTGGATTTGTAGAAAGTGTAGCCGGGCAACACCTAGGTCATCAAGATTAGTAATCTTGATGCCCGCGGCCTGCAACTTGGGACTCGGGCTTTAAGGTACCTGCATTGTTAGGACAACCAATATGGGTACCTGGCTACAATGTCAGAAGTCTACTTGCAAAATGTGTTCAGTAGTAAGGTAGTATGTTCTCCATTTATCCGTGAGTATTATGCGTTTGATCCAATTGATGTCCTGCTTTCATTGGCAATCCAGTGCCAAGTGGCCACGCACGCACCCTCTATCCTCCTCCCATAATCCTTCACGTGGCAATCTGACCCACTTCATTCGTCAGAATGCGCTCATCCGTACGTGGCATCTCCACGCTGTCTCGAATTCACGAGCCGCCTCACGTGTACTGCTGCAAGCAATCCATTCCCAGAGCTGTTTTGAGCGCGAACATAAATCGCTACTGGTGGTTTGTGTTACTACATTTTTCTCTCCTTCCTCCGAATTTCGCACCTTCTGCCTGTCCCCTTACGCCACAGATTCCCGCTTCTTAGACGCAGTAGCGGAGGATCCGAATTCTGGCTTAGTGGAGTCTAGAAGCTCCTGACGCAGTTCCGATTCCCGCATTTACGCGCCCGAAAGAGGCTTTTGTCTAGTGTCCCGCAATGCAGGGCCTAGATTCCATCCGGCCTGTTCCAGCGGGCCCCGCGGAGGGCAAACCGTCACTCACTGCGCCCGCGCCAGCGGCGGAAGCCGCCAGCCATGCTATCGCGGAAGAACATGCGGGCGCCGCCAGTGGTACGAGCGGCGCGGAAGGCGGCGCCCCCGCAACGTCGGCGCCTGGCGGAAGGGGACAGCGGGGCGGGCGAGGGCGACAGCGGGGTGGTCGAGGGCGCGGAAGGGGAGGGGCGGGCGCGGAGAGCGGAGGGGGTGGAGGAGAGAGTGGGAGCGGTGATGTGACCAACCATATCGGCGGAAATGCTGAGGTCAGCGGCGGAGACGGCGGAGGCGGAGGCGGGGGAGGGTGCGGAGTTATGGGGGGAGGCGTGGCGGGGAGTAGTGGCGGCGCGGGTGGCGGCGCGCAGTGCTCGTGCGTGTCGTTTTCCCCGGAGATGCAGCGCGCGTTCTTCGAGCTGCACGCGCTGCGGCTGGGAACGGACAAGGCGACGTACGGCGACACGCTCGAGTGGCTGCTGAACGCCGCGAAACCCGCTATTCAGCAGCTTAAAACGGGTACGGGCGGAGCGGCGGGAGGGGCGGGAACTGGGGGAGGCGCGGCTCGTTCCGGCGGAAGCAAGAAGAAGAGGAACAATCGCAACCGGCGTAAACAAGGACAGATGGGGGATCAGCAGGGCGCGGAAGGGGGAGGGGAGGTGGGAGCAGCAAGGGGAGCGGAAGGGGGAGCGGGGGGAGGAGCGGGAGGAGCAGAGGGAGGGGGATTGGGAGGGGGAGTGGGAGGGGGGGAGGGAGGGGGAGTGGGGGGAGCAGTCGGAGGAGCAACGTGATGGGGAGAGGGAGGGGTATAGTGAAGAGCAGTGGGCGGAAGGGCAGAAACAGTGTGCTGTGTGGGCTGCAGCTGAGTATGGTGCTGGCGTGTGGGGTGCAAAAGAGGAGTGTGTGGCACGCATTTAGGGGGTACTGAGAGAGTAGTTTTGAGTCGACTCAATACTGAGAGAGTACTGAATGGTATTGACGTGGCAGCGCCAGCGCCTTTAGTTGACACGAGTTAGCATGATTTGGCACGAGTTGGCATGGGTTGGCATTTGTTGAGACAGGTTGCCATGCCTAAACCCTCAAGACTCTTGAGGTTCATGGGTAGAGGAACAGCAAGGGAGCATGGGTAGCAATAGAAGTTTTTTGTTTCTTTTCTTTTCAGTGTTGTGTGGTTTGAAACAAAGAGTTTTCCTGCAGATAAGGTGTAGGTACTATGTGCTGTTGTGATGTGAGGTACCGTACCATACCACTTTCAGAGGTTGGTTAGGTTGGTAGCAATACAAGACAGACGTTTGTGCAATAGGAACTACAGACAGAATGTTCGCAAATAGATTGTGACTGCCGCGAGACAACAGCTTGTACCGAACCGAGGTAGAGGGTGGGTGCCTTGAAAGGGTGATGCTTCATCATGTGTTAGATCATCATCCTACCGAGGATGGGAGGTGCTCCCTGGTGAGTGAGAATTTCCACATCATATAATTTGCTGTAGTTATACTGGTACATCATTCCCACTATCACACCTAAAGCACAAGTCGCCACACCACACGGACACCCAGCAACACACGCCCCAAGTTGGAATCTCTCTTTAGTGCCCCTCACTACTAGGATCCTTTTGGCGCCTATTGCCAGTGCCAGCACCACCACCACCTCACCCAACCTCACCTTGGAGGCACCATTGCAATCCCTACCATCACTGCCCCCTGCGAGCACCACCACCACTGCCCACCCACCACCACCGCACCCTACCATTATCACCGCACCAAGTGCTTGACTCCTGGCAGCACACTCCCCTCACCACCGCCATCACCACCACCACTGCCCACCCACCATCACCACACCCCACTCCCGCCATTCCCATCACGACACCAAGTGCTTGACACCCAGCAGCCTTGACTGCCCCATGACTCAACAGCTTGGCCACACCTCTCAATACCGCCATCACCACCACCACTGCCCACCCACCATCTCTACCGCACTCTATCCCTTATCACTGCACCAAGTGCTTGGCACCCGGCAGCACCATCCCAGGCTGCACCGCCCCATGGCTCAAAGGCTTAACCACCCCCCTCACCGTTATCACTGCCCCCTCCTCCCCATCCCCTCCCCCCCGGCCCACCCTCCACTCCCTCTTCTTGCTCCTCGCTTGCTTCTTCTGCTTCTTATGCTCCGCCTTTGCCGGCTGCTGCTGCCTCCTCCCCCCTCCGCCTCCCAGCCCTGCCCCAGCAGCACCAGTGGCACTGCCGCTGCTAGCGGTGTTTCTTCCCCCGCTTACCCCATCCTCGTTATAGTCAGCATCACCAAGAGAATCGCCTGCAGCAGCAGCAGCAGCGGCAGCCTGCTGGGCCTCTTCCAGAGCCATACCTCCGAAATGCTCCAAGTCAACTGCGTCTAAAACCAGAAATTCCCCTTCCTCTCCCTCTCCCTCTCCCTCTCCTCCTCCTGCTTCTGTGCCCAACCAGAATTTGTCGCTAAAACTGTCCTCTGGGCAGCCTGGGGGCAGCTCGAAATGTGGCAGTTTCCCACTCAAGTAATCCTTCAAGATAATTCGAGCTGCCCGGGTTTCATCGGGCAGCCCAGAAGAAACCACGTGCCCTCGTGACCGGGCATAGGCTTTAAGAATCTCCGCTGCCTGTGGGGGTCTGTCGGGTCTTTCATGGGCAGGTGGAGGCGGAAAGGTCAGCCCGTAAATACTTTCAAGGGCTGTCCGGGGAACTTTTCGGGCAACCACTTCAACAGGCCCTCTTTGATCCGTAATTCGGTCAACGGGCAGCACTCCAGCAGCAACCATTTCTGACCGGGCAGACGCAAACGACGGGAAAACCAGCCCCGGGCAGTCACAGAGCATTAGCGAGTCCGACACGGGCAGCGTCTGGAAATGTTTTGTCTTGCCCGGAGTGGACGTGACACCAGTTTTTTTGGACCCAACAAGAGCATTGATAGTAGAGCTCTTACCCACGTTTGGGTAGCCCACAAATCCAACCACCACCCTCTCCTGCCCTTCCTTCTGCCCGTCCTTCTGCTTCTCCCTTCTCCCCCCAGCTGCTCCTGCTGAAGCAGCGGCAGGAGCAACACCAGCAGTACCACCGGCAGCAGCAGCAGTAGCGGCGGCGGCGGCAGCAGCGATGGCAGCAGCTTTCTCCTCGAGCAACCGCAATAGGCTGTCCTTGCCATGTATCCTCACATCCTCTTTAGTCACCCTCACCCTCTCCTTCACATTCTCACCCTTCTCTTCTGCATTCTCACTTTCCTCTTGCTCCTTTTCACTGCTTTTACCTACTTCCCCACTTTCCTCCTCCTCATCCTCTTCCTCATCCTCCTCCCCATCCTCCGCTTCCTCCCACTCACCCTCACTCTCATCCTCCTCCCCTTCCTCTCCCTCCTCATCCTCCTCCTCCTCTCCCTCCTCCTCCCCCTCAGTAGCAGCCTTGGCGGACCAGAAGGCAAACTCAACGCCCTGCCCTTTCAGCCACTCAGCCCACAGCCGCCGCACAGCAGCAGGCAGCAGATCGGCCTTATTCAGCAGCAGCAGCGTGCGGCTCGGCGAACCCTCCTCTCTGGCCCTTCTGCTGCTGCTGCTGCTGCTGCTGCTCCCATCTGCCACGTCCCTGTTGCTCCCGTCTGCCAAGTCCTTATTGCTCTCGTCTTTCGAGTTGCTGCTGTTGCTGCTGCTGCTGCTCTCGGTACTGTGTTTGGGCCCTGCGGCCAGCTCGTGCACGTACGCTTCAAGGTCAGAGCAGCGGTAGAAGAGCGGGTCCCGGCTGTCCACCACGGTTACCACCTGGAAAGACAAGGGGTTACAATGGATGTCAAGGATATGAGGAATGTGAGAGGGTGCTGCGCCCAGCTCTTGGACGTAGGCTTCTAAGTCAGAGCAGCGGTAGAAGAGCGGGTCCCGACTGTCCACCACGGTTACCACCTGCAAGAGGGGTTACAGTGGATGGATTGGGAAGGGGCTTCAGTCAGCTAAAAGGTCAATGCAAGAAGAGGGTCCCGACTGTCCACCACGGTTACCACCTGGATAGACAAGGGGTTACAGCGGATAACACAGTTACAATTGGATTACATACAATGGATGGTAACAGTTACTCCAGTGAGACACTACAGTACGCATGAGACTCACAATGGCTAAACTGGTGGCTGGCTAAACAACAGACCTGTCAGTAACTGGGTAACCACTCACCAGGTGGCTTCTCTCCAGCACTCGCCACAGCTGTCGCCAGATGTCAAGGTTCTTCTCGAATGGGGTTACCACCAGGTGGTTGTTCTCCTCCACCCTGCCACATAGTCACCCCACATTCGTTACAGTCACACAGAAGTACAGTCACATTCGATTACAGTCACGCACAAATGCAACACAAATGGTGACACTCAGGATGCAACGCACATGAACATGCACCATCAATGAACACATCCCCCACTCCCTCCTCCCCCTTCTCCCTTCCCCCCATGCAACATCATCCCCTTCCACCCCTAGCTCGCTCTTCCCTTCCCCCCGCCCCCTCCTTCCTCCCCTCCTCTCCCCTCCTCTCCCCTCCCCTCCGCTCCCCTCCACCCACCTTCCGCACCCTCCCACCCTTTCCCCCCCAGCCACTCACGCGGAGAGAGATCGCCTCCATTCCAGGAAAGCCGCCTTCTCACTAGCGTCCAACTCTGCTGACGTCATGCTCGCGCTCCACTTGGGCCTGGGGGCGAAGAAGTGAGAGAGGCGGATGGGAGGGAGACGGGGAGAAAGGGGAGCAGGGGGAGGGGGGGGGGGGTTGGCGGAGGAAGGAGGGGAAAGGGAAGGGAAGAGGGGTGAGAAGGGGCAGCATGCATTTTGTTTTCACCTCATAACTGCTTTCTATTGAAACAAGGAATAAACTTGGAATTTTAACCACAGCTGATCACTCAACTCTTCTCGTGCCAACTTCTCTTCACGAATCACTCAACAGACGCCCAAGCAAGTTCCCCCTCCTCTCATCCCCTCCTCTGCTCTTCTCCCTCCCCATTCCCGTCCCCTCTGCTCTCCGCTCACCGTCTTGGGATGGTAAGAAGCTTCCGATGAAGTTCCTCCTGCTCCCTGCGCTCGCTGATGCTGCCGCCTTTCCCACCTGCCGCCCCCAAATCATGACTGCCATGATTCGGAGAAAGGGGGGGGGGGGGAAGGAAGGGAGGGGGGAGGGGAGGGGAAGGGGGAAAGGGGAGGGGGGGAAAGGGGAGGGAGAATAACGATTTCTTGTGAAGATTTCAGGGGAGAAGGCGGGCCGTTTAAGCCCTGAGCCCATACATCCCCACTCAAACAATCAAACAAGGGAGGGTGAAAGGGGAACCTTTTTTTTTTTTTTTTTTTGTGACGATTAGGGTGTGATTGTGTAAGGCGAAAGACCTCCAGCGAGAATTGGGTTGAGCTTCTTATAATTTTGGATAGCGACTGAAATTTCCAGCGAGAGTTGTGTGGAGCGAGTGGCGGGAAAGGGACTCGCTGTGAGGGTGTTTTGAGTCGACTCAAAACACGACTCATCACACGCGTTGTGTGGAGCGAGTGGCGGGGAAGAGACTCGCTGTGAGGGTTGGGAGGTGGATGGGGGTGTCTTAAACGCCTACAAACAGACTCTTCCCCCTTGCACCCCCGCATTCTGTGAAGAGTCGGTGTGGGGGGAGGGGAGGAGGGTCGGTTGGGGGATGGACGGGCGCGCCAACCAGCCCTCCGCCGCCCAGCCTACAGACACTCTCGCAGACGAGAGCTGCGAGAAGGGAGAACTGGGTGGAGAAAGGTGGACGGCGGACGGCGGACGGCGGAGAGCGGAGGGCG